CTTTACTACTTGCCCTTCCTCTTCTACATTCCTTTTCATCTGTCTCCGTCTTCTTACCATCACTTAACTCAGCAAACTGAAGTTCCTATGAGGTTTGAAGGGAAAAAAACAAAAACAAAAATGTGTTTCCCTTGCTTGACTCCTATACTCAATCACAACTGTCCATAAAAATGCAATTAACAATCAAGTTAAGAAGAAAAAAGAGAATTTTATTCAAGCCAAACAGGATTATAACCCAGGAGACAGACTCTCAGAAAGCTCTAAGAGCTGTTCTGCTGTTAGAAGTCCAAGTCAAGTCACACTTTCAAAAGGTCTTACATCAAAATGTCATAATGACATTTTACATAAAGTTCACCAAAGACACATAGTCCAGGTAAGCTCATGCAAGGCAAGCAGCAAGTCACCATGACCCCCTGCAGAGTTGGGAAAGAACGCTGCTCTTTAAAGAAGTTACGTGGCTAGCATCAGAAGAAAGGGGAAAAATTTGTCTTTATAGTCGAGCAGACATTCCCATCTTTAAGAAGGTCTGGTGAATGTGTAATGCTGAGGCATACTGCATATTAGGGAGGGAGGGAAGAGGCCCAAACAGAAAGGAGAATTTAAATTTTTTCTTGTCCTACCTTAAAATGTAAATTTATTTCATTACAATAAATGGAGCCTCAGTGATAAGATGTTTTTACATGAGGGCCAAAAAATAAGTACAGACTACATTCTAAATATAACAAAAACAATTTTTCACTACCTTCTCAAGTACCAATTCTTTAACACCCTTCCCTCTGTAGACCAATTTGTGTGTTCTCCACATCCACACACCCACACACCCACAGTGTTAGATGTGGGATCAAAACAACAGTAGACTTACACAGTGTTCTCTCCCTCTGTTCAATCTTTAAAACGGAGGGCCCTGGGGCTTGCTCCTGGGCATCTACCCGCCTTTACATTCCTTCTCTAGATGACCTCATCTGTCTCAGAGTTTAAATACTATCTAAAGCTAAGGAGAATTCTGCTCCCACCCTGATCTTTGCCTAGATCTCCCCTGTTGTATTTCTCTAAGCATTCCAAATGTGACAGAATTCTTGATCTACCCCAAACTACTACTTTCTAAAAGCTGCTCTTCTGTTTGTTTTTTATTTTTTTGCGTGTGATGAGAACTCTAGGGATTTACTCTTAACAACCTTCATTATAACATATAGCGGTGTTTATTACATTTATCATGTTATATATTACATCCCTAGTAAATTATCTTATGATTGGAAGTTTGTACCCTTTAAAAATTTTTTTTTGTATAATTTATTTTTATTTATCTATTTGGGGTGGGTAATGAGGTTTGTTTATTTTTTTAGTTTTTAATGGAGGTACTGGACGAGATTGGGCGTATTCAGGATGGTATGGCCATAGGCTTAATGGAAGTACTGGAGATTGAACCCAGGACCTCATGCATGCTGAGCATGTGCTCTACCACTGAGCTATACCCTACCACCACAAAAAGCTGCTCATCTCTTAGTCTTTTCTGTTTCAGTCACTCAAGTCAAAACCTATGAGTCACCCTTGACCCCTTTTCTCTCACTCCAGGCATGTAAATCAAGACTCAGCAAGTCTATCTCCAAAATATATCCAGAACCCATCCCTTTCCATCTAGTGCTGCTAGTACCATCCAACCATCATCTTTTGCTGGCCTCCTACAACAGCCTTTGAATGGCTCCCCTGCTTCTCTCCTCCTCCTTCTTCCCCTCCTCCACCCAAGCTACACACATTCTCTCCACCATGACAACAGAAATCTCTTGAAAAAATAGATTCTGCCACACTGTGGCTTAAAACCCTCCAAAGCCTTCTACTGCACTTAGTATAGCCCAAACCCTTTACCTTGGTTTACGAGGGAGGCCTTGTGTAGCTTTACCCTTTCCAATTTCTTAATCTCATCTCTACTCCCCTCCTCCTCCCATACTCTAGCCACACTGGCTTTTCTGAACATGACAAGCTTTTTCCCATTGTAAAAATTAATAAGCACATTAAAATAGAGTGTCGTCAGAAAGGGGAGCTTGCAGGTTCTGTGACTACAATAGCCCAGCAAAAGAGAGAATTCCTCTTCTTCCTTGATAAAAGCTCAGCCAATAAAAAGCCACTATACTTCAAACTCTCAATTCCACCAGTGGACTCTGCTTACTACATAGCTCTCTTGACTTCCTTTTCCCTGTATACGAGAGTCCTCTCCCTGTGGCATGGGGACTTTCATGGCTTGCCGTGGTGGTAGACCCCAAATTGTAATTCTTCGTTGATCCTGAATAAGCCTATTTTTGCAGGAGAAATATCTGGCAGTCTATTTGTTTAAGCCAACACTATCTTTGGGTTTTCACAGGCTGTTTCCTCTACCTAAAATGTTTTCCTTTTTGTCATTTAAACCTTAATTTAAATGTCAACTTCTCAGACTGTCCGTGACCACCAAGTCTCAGCTAGCTACCAAATCACTCTACCTGCTTCACTATCTTTATTTTCTGCCTACCATTTAGTACTACCTGATCGTTTTTTCCATTTTACTTATTTACTTATTTAGCCTCTCTCCTACTGGACTCTATACTTTATAACAGCAGGGAGCTCATCTGTTTTGTTCAGAGCTATATTCCTAGCACCTAGAACATTGCCTGGTATGTAGTTGGCACTACTGACAGGGCCAGGGGAGAGAATACTGTGTAGTTCACTGAGGAGAAAAGTCAAGTTTTTTGTTTTTTGTTTTTTGTTTTTTGTTTTTGTCTTTTTTTAATTGACATATAGTGACTTATAATGTTGTGTTTGTTTCTGGTATGTGTGTGTCTGTATATATATATATAATTTTTAGATTCTTTTCCATTATAGTTTATTACAAGATACTGAATATAGTTCCCTGTACTTTACACTAGGTGCTTATTATTTATCTCTTTTATATAATAGTGTGTATATGTTAATCCCAAATTCTTCACTTTTCCCTCCCTACCCCTTCCCTCTTTGGTAATCATTTGTTTTCTATCTCTGTGAGCCTGTTTCTGTTTTGTAAATAAGTTCATTTGTATCATATTTTAGAGTCCACATATAAGTGATATCACATGATATTTGTCATTTGTCTTTCGTTTAGTATGATAATCTCGAGGTCCATCCATGTTGTTGCAAATGGCATTATTTCACTCATTTCTATGGCAAATATTCCACTGTGTATATATACCACATCTTCTTTATCCATTCATCTGTAGATGGACATTTAGGTTGCTTCCGTGTCTTGGCTATTGTAAACTGTGGTGCTATGAACACTGGAGTGCATGTATCTGAGAAAAGTCAAAATTTTTAATGTTATTTTAAAAAGATATAATCCATGGAACTTGTGTTTATTAAGCATCAAAATCAGCATTCTGAATAGAAATGAGTCATAGGTATGTATGTAGTAGACAAGCTCTCTCAAACTTGGCAGTCTGAGACTCCACCAGAATTGTGGGGCTGGATAATCATTTGTGTCTGTGTTTATGGGGTGCAGGCTGTCTTGTGTATTATAGGATGTTTAGAAGCATCTCTGGTCTCTACCCACTAGAAGCCAGTAGCATCTTCCCGGTTGTGACAACCAGAAATGCCAAATGCTCCCCATAGGACAAAATGTTCCTCCATTGAGAACTACTGTGTTAAATGAAATTCTACTGTGCAATGGTCAGGAACGGGTTCAAACAACTAAAAGTACAGTGGAGAAACCAGGTAATAGCTTAACCAAGTGATCAAAATTAATATCATTTATGGGGAACAAGCAAACAGCATATGTCTGCAGAGTTGATCCCCTGAGAAGAATCTGATGTCGCCTACGTGAAACCTATGCGTAACAGCCAAGAATGCATAACCTTGATGTAAGTCACAAGGAACCATTAAACAAACACAAGAATAAGAAATTTCTATTTTCTAAAAAGCGGCAGGGCGTACTGTATTCTTCAAAACCATCAGTGTTTGAAAGACTAAGAAAAGCTGTGAGAAGTGTTTCAGACTAAAGGAACTAAATGCAACATTGACTCTAGCTGGAGGAAAGAACATTACTAGGTCAACTGACAAAATTGGAATATAAACTAGGTTGAATACAATATTGTAATAAAGTAAATTTATGACTGTATTGTGAATATGTAAGGGAATATCCCTTTTTCTTAGAAATACACACTAAAGAATTGAGGGATAAAGGGCCATTATATATATAACTTACTCTCAAATGTTCCAGGAAGAAAATTTTATAGGGTTATGTGTCCATAGATAGAGCTTTATATAAGAAAGAGATTAAGTGAATAATAAAGCAAATGGGGTAAAAGGATATTTGAATCTGAGTAAAGGGTACCTACCTGTGTGTTCCCAGTAAGATTTTTGTTTACAAGTTTCCTAAGTTTGAAATTATTTTCAAATAAAAAGCAAAAATAAAAAAATTGGCTTTCGAAATAATTTGATTTAAGTAATCTGGCAGGTTAAGAGGCTGGCAATATTCTTAAGCGGCAATTACTGTTGTGGAAACATCATGGGTCTAAAGAAATCTAAGTTTAGTCCCGTGTTACTAATTTGTGATTCTGGGAAAATCACCCAAAGCCTCTCCGAGCTTCAGTGCCTCCACCAGAGTGCTGTTGGAATGATCAAATGAAAGAATGTATATATAAAAGCCTTTTCGGCTACATGCCACTGTAAAAGAGGTCAGTGTTTAACAGTAAGTAGAACTAAAGTCATAACTGTCTTTGAGGTCCAACTGCGGTGGCTCCACCAGCACTTTTTTAAGGCCACAAGACTGCCCCAGCACAGCACAGGCTCACCTCTCCAGGTGAGCAGCGGACGCATCCCCTCTCCAGGTGGCGGCAGTCACTGCCAAGGGCGCAGGCGCGGGGCCAGACCACGTGACGGCCTGGTCCCGTCCCACCCGAATGTCTTCGCGGGATCGCCCTGGAAACGCATTCTCGGAGGAACCGGCCGCCGCCAATGAGAAGCGAGCGAGTGCCACGAACAGGCCAATAAGGAGGGAGCGGTGCGGGGTTTAAACCTGAGGCAGGGCCCGATTCTTCCCGGCGTGCTGCGGAGGAACGGCTGTTGGCGTGTGCTGGGTTCAGGTCCCCGGCTGGTCGGGGACTCCCGTGCTCTGCTTCTCCCCACTGAGCTACTGCCTGGTGCAGAGGAAGCCATGGCGCTCCGGATCACCAGGGTGAGCTCCTGCGGACGGTGAACAAACGCGTCTCTGCCGGCTCGCCGCGCCTCCCTTCCCTGGCTCTCCTGCGGGAGTCCCCCGGGCGGGAGCGGGCCGGGGCAGAGATTTGAGGAGGAGGATAGCGGTCGGTGGGAGAGTATGGGAGAAGGACGGGCGGAGAGAAGAAAAGTGGATGGGCCTTAGATAAATGCTGGGGGTGGGGGAGCAGATGGAGGGTAGACTGGAAACCTTTTGTAAAAGGTGATGGAGGCCCCCGGAGTGAGCTACCACCAACTGCGTGACCCTCTCCCCAGAGAAGAAGGTGCTTGCAATTGAAGGCTTTTTCGATTCCCTTTCAAATGTAAATTTATGGTACTTCAGGCCCGGTGGAGACTGAGGAGGCAATCCTTCAATTGGTGAAGGAAGCGGTTTGGGAGGAAGCTGACTTGTCATAACCTAGCGTAGACCCTGGAACCCAGGTTTCCCCCAGGAACCCATTTACAGTCGGCTTTCCTGAGAGCCTCTCTTTTGCCCCCACTTTAACCCTTGACTTACCCTAACTTGGCTGGGCTAGCTTTCAGAGTGGTCTTGCTTCTTACAGAACACGAAAATTAATGCTGAAAATAAGGCGAAGCTCAGTATGGCAGGCGCAAAACGCGTGCCTATGGCCACTGTTGGAGCTTCTAAGCCCGGGCTGAGGCCAAGAACAGCTCTTGGAGACATCGGTAACAAAGTCAGTGAACAGCCACAGGCCAAACTGCCCCTGAAAAAGGTAACTGTCTTCCTGATTCAGCTTCTCTAGTCTGCCTTCCAGCTGTGATCCTTGATGGAGAAACATTCCATTCTCTCCTTTTCATCCACAGGAAGCAAAAACTTTAGCTGCTGGAAAAGTTATTGCTAGAAAACTACCAAAACCTCTGGAAAAGGCTCCTGTACCCGTGTTGGAGCGAGAGCCCGAGCCCGAGCCCGAGCCGGAGCTGGAGCCGGAGCTGGAGCCGGAGCCGGAGCCGGAGCTGGAGCCAGAGCCGGAACCTGAGCCTGTTAAAGAAGAGAAACTTTCCCCTGAGCCTATTTTGGTAAACCATACTATTTTAGAGCCTGTCGATTGTTTCTTTTCCTTCATTTGACTAATGCATGATAGATCTTTTGAATAAATAATAATAGTAACATAGAGTGCTTAGCGGGAGGTAGGCTCTGCTAAGCGCTTCACGTGCATTAGCTCACATGATCTTATTATTCTCGCTTAGCACTGGTACTGTTTATTACCTCTACCTTTTAGATCACGGCAGAGAAGTATTAAGTATCTTTTATAGAGCCACATCTAAGCGGCACATAACTGGAACTCAGGCTGTCTGGCTGCAGAGTCTGCTTTCAATTGCTTTGTTATATACTACCCCTCCTTTATTTAAGGTATTGAGTAGTAGATGCCTGGGCCAAAGATTTTGCTGTCTTTGGGTACAAGCCATCTGACCAGAATTTATTGACTAAAACACCGATTGTTTTCTTTTGTGGGGGAGGGGAGGGTAAAGATTAGGTTGGTTTATTTATTAATGGTGGTGCTGGGGATTGAACCCAGGACTTCTTGCATGCTAAGCAGGCACTCTACCGCCGAGTTATACCCTCCCCCACTGTTTTCTTGAGCTTTTTTTTTTACTCCCTAATATGGCCACCAAATCCTTAATAAGTCTGTACCACTGGAATATATGAGGGTATAAAGCAGAAAATGTACCTCTTCAGAGAGTAGGTAAGATGAGTTAACACAGGCTCAAAACCAAGAATTTATTAAATATCAGGTATGTAGATGTGTCTACTCCTGTGAAGGAAAAATACGCCATCTAGAAGAGGCTTATTTGTTGAAACAAACTACATTCTTAAGCTCTAATTTTTAAACTTCGTTAAAGCCACTGGGGAAATGATCTATCAAAGTCATTGGGCCCAGCTCTTTCTATCTAAGAGTAGGAGCTATGAGGCTATGTCTTTAGTATAGACCTTCTGGGCATAGCAGAGAAAACTGTAGCCTGCACAGTCTTTCATTGACCATACCAAACGACCTGAGGTTTCCTTGAAAGTCCCATACTGATTCTTGCCTTTGCTTTCCCACTTAATAAAAATGCCTTTCCCACCCTCTTTTAAGTAGCTCAAGCATCAACACCTAAAGCTTTCCCTAACTTTCTCCATCCCCACCCTAGCTGCCCCCACCTCCACTCTTGTTCCTAAAATCAAACAAAGTCGTTAATCCTTAGTAGTCCAGACAGACCTTGTAGTCTCCCTCTCAGTGGGAAGCAGTCCATGTTTTGAAATAAAGACTAAAGGCTAACTTGTCATTCATTTGGTTTAACTTATCAGGACATTGCTAAACAAATGCATTACTTACCAGTTTCCTTCAGAGGAAAGTCTAGCATATGAATTTGCTTCTTCTCTGTTTTACCTATTAACAATTCTGCTGGCTCAGTCTAAGCTGGCATTTCACTTTTTATATTAGCCACTTCCTAAAAAGAAGTTGAATAAATTTGAAAAGATAAGTGGATTCTATGTCTATTCAGCAGATAAGTCTCGTGAGTTAGTACCAATAATCTGACGTTCATTCCAAGATTGTTTGCTCCTCTTTGCTATTATTTCAAAAGGTCTCTCTGTTTCAAGGTTGATACTCCCTCACCAAGCCCCATGGAAACATCTGGCTGTGCCCCTGCAGAAGAATACCTGTGTCAGGCTTTCTCTGATGTAATTCTTGCAGTGAATGATGTGGATGCAGAAGACGGAGCGGATCCCAACCTTTGTAGTGAATATGTGAAAGATATCTATGCTTATCTGAGACAACTTGAGGTCAGTAGTAGGATAAAATCTTTGTTTTTTCTAAACTGCATCTAGCTTTATTAAAGGAATTTTCCATTAACAGGTCACAATAATTTAAGCAGGATGTAAGTAGCATTTCTTAACCATAGGTTCCAATTTAAAATTCTTTGTGGAATACCAAAAATAAAAAGGCACTAAAGCCAGTGAAGTCTGTATTTGCCATTTTGAACAGGGAAAGTTCAAAGTGGGAGTGGATACTACCATGGCTCTTTCCGAAGGAAAGTCTGATACATTTATAACCATCAGGAGTGGGTTAGGAGTGGGTGAGTCCCAAAATCTGGATTTGTAGTAAAGGAGACGATGCTGGAAAACTATAGCCAAAACAAGGCATTTTGGGTCCATGTTCCTTACATGCATGTGATATCAGAAATTGTTCTTTTTGTCTAAGAGGAATATACTCAAAAATTTAAGTTTTTGGTTTTCTTCCATTTCATTCCACTTCTGAAACTTTCTATTAGTGTCCTTTGCCCTTTCCCCCCAAAATGAGGAGGCATTCTGTATATTAACAACATAAGCTCTACAGCTACCAAATTTACCCAATTGCTTGTTTGTAATGCATTCTATTCTAGTGACATCATCGACATCTTCAGGCTCTTTCCTGGCTCTTTTGGGCATCTCCATTTTCCACAGCATTGTCCTGCAAGACTTTCTTGCCAAAACCAGCCCTCTGCTCCAGATTTCTTCTCCCTTGTTTTTAAAGTTTGTGTTCTAACTTTGGAGGGGTGGGTTTAGCAGATGTGTGTGCTAGGTTTTGATGATTCATTCTTTTTTTTTCTTTTTATTGAAATATAGTCAACTTATAATGCATTAATTTCTGGTATACAGCACAGTGATTCATATAGATATATATCCATTCCTTTTCATTACAGGTTATTACAAGGTACTGAATATATAGTTCCCTGTGTTGTGCAGTGGGACCTTGTTTACGTTCTTATCTATGGTGCTTTGGGGGTTTAAACCCTGGAACAGGAGTGATAGCATATTGATAGCAGCTGATCTGGAACTTCTACTATTTTCTCTACTTTGTAAAGCTCAGGTTCTGGGTTTAGAGTCTTAAGTGGAAAGATCTGAGGTGATAGTATGATAAGGTAGTTTGGGAAGAAGTGGGGACATAGAGTATGGCTCAGTAGTAGCGATGGTGAATTGAACAGAATAAGATCTGCCAACAGGAAAACCTGTCACACTCTCCTATTTAGTGTTTGCTTGCTTTCTTCCTCAGTGATAGAGCTGTTTGCAGTGACCATATGAATAACTGAGTTAAGACCTAAATGTCCCAGAGCTGTTCTGAGGTGACTGATTATTTCTGGTCAGAAATATCACATGGAGTCTTGCTTCTAAGGATAATCAGCAATTCTTTTGCAGGAAGAGCAAGCAGTCAGACCAAAATACCTACTGGGTCGTGAAGTCACTGGAAACATGAGAGCCATCCTAATTGACTGGCTAGTGCAGGTTCAGATGAAATTCAGGTTACTGCAGGAGACCATGTACATGACTGTTGCCATTATTGATCGGTTCATGCAGGTGAGCATAACTGAGCAATTGAGGGTTTGCCCTTCCAGTGTCCTGGCTGAGTCGTAAGAAATAGACTCAGCTAAAATCTGTCCTGGGGGGTGGGGTGTCAAAATTTTGTTGTGGAAGTGTCTTTCCCACCTCTCCTTCATAGCTCTGTGCCTCCTTTTTCAAAGGCATATTACTTACTCATCCAGTTGAAATTCTCTCTGCAGGATAATTGTGTGCCCAAGAAGATGCTGCAGCTGGTTGGTGTCACTGCCATGTTTATTGCAAGCAAATATGAAGAAATGTACCCTCCAGAAATCGGGGACTTTGCCTTTGTGACTGACAACACTTACACTAAGTACCAAATCAGACAGATGGAAATGAAGATTCTAAGAGCTTTAAATTTTGGTCTGGGTCGCCCTCTACCCCTGCATTTCCTTCGGAGAGCATCTAAAATTGGAGAGGTACAGATTTCTTGAAACCTTTGTATGGTATATTAAGGAATACTGCTGACCAATGAGATCTAGTTCAACTGCCTTGTGTTATGTACCTAACTACATGAAGAAGGGATAAAGATGGTCTTTATTTCCCATCAGTCTGTATGTTAATATCATTAAAGCCTTTCATGGGCAGTTGCATTTGAGAGTTTATAGACAAACATCCATAGTCATAGTTATGGGCATACAAGTTATTGCCAATGCAGAATTCTCTGTCAACTCAGTGACCTGTGAGTTCTGTTTCAGGTGGATGTTGAGCTACATACTTTGGCCAAATATCTGATGGAACTAACTATGTTGGACTATGATATGGTGCACTTTCCTCCTTCTCAGATTGCAGCGGGAGCTTTTTGCTTAGCACTGAAAATTCTTGATAATGGTGAATGGGTAAGCTCTGTCCCACAAACCTAGGCTTTTAAATTAATACTATTTTATTGTATTTATTATATAAGCTTTTAAATTATAGTATTTACTGAATATAAACTGTTTCCACTAAAGGACAATTCCATTGGTTCCTAAATATGGCTTCTACTGAGGGAATGATTAAAAATGATATCTTGCTTGTGACATCATCACAGAATGCTTCCATTTCATGATCTAATTTCATCTTCCTATAACCTTTTGAGAAAGGCAGAGAAGCTGCTGCTCCTTACAGATGGAGAAGCTCAAGCAGGTCAAGTGACAAACTAGAAGTTCATTGATTCAACAGATAATTCTCCTGGAGTGCCATATGCTACTTTAGGCCCTAGAAGCAGAACTATGAATGAGAAAGTTGGCTCCAAGGGACTTGGAGTTTAGCTTTGGGACGGACAAGTCAGCAACTCCAGTAGTGTAATTAGGTTGGAGCACAGGATCCTAGAGAAGCATAAAGGAAGAGTTCCTGGGGAAGAAGGGTCTTAAGCTTGTCTTAAATTTCAATTATAATCAGTTACACAGTATCTACCTCCCTACCCTTCTTTTAAATAACACTTATTTATGAAAACCACTTTTGATGAGCATTTTCAACATTTTTTGTTGTCTTAGACACCAACTCTACAGCATTACCTGTCATACACTGAAGAATCCCTTCTTGTTGTTATGCAACACCTGGCTAAGAATGTCATCATGGTGAATCGTGGGCTTACAAAGCACATGGTAAGTCATTTGGTGGCACTGTAGGGTGTTGTGGAAAATATGAAAATCATTAAGACTATGCCTGCAAATGCATAGCTCTTTTTTTTTTTAAGTGAAATCAAGTTTATTTAGAGAGATATACATTCCCTAGATAGAGTGTGGTCTGTCACACGTGGAAGGGAGAGCTGTGCGTAGCTCATTTTTAAGGAGCTGGTGAATATCTTTACCATTGGTTCCACAATGTTTTCCTCTTTTCCTTCATTAATGTCTATGCTTTTCTCCTCCAGACTATCAAGAACAAGTATGCCACATCTAAGCATGCTAAGATCAGCACTCTAGCACAGCTGAATTCTGCACTAGTTCAAGATTTAGCCAAGGCCGTGGCAAAGGTGTAACTTGTGAACTTTGGAATACTATAATATCTACAAATAAAATTGGCACCATGTGCCATCTGTACATATTATATGTTACATTTATTTACTTTTAATAAAGTTTGTAGTCCCTTTTACTTCTTATCCCTTAACTCATTTGAATGTGGCTACTTTTCACTGTAGGATAATCTAAAAGTTGCCTTAAAGGTATGGTAGGAAATTAAGAAAAAAATACTGCTTTCAGTTTGCCTGGGGACCCAACTAATATATACACTTGGTTCTTGTTTTATGTTCCTTGGTTTTACTTTATCAGTAAGAATTACTAAGCTCTTAGATCCTCACTTTACAAGTCATACTGTATGTAAGCATGGTCCTAAGAGAATCTGCTGCCTAGTTCTACTTAAGGAAAAGTCTACCACCTTGTCCCTAGTCCCCCTGTTTTCAATTTCCCCATAATTCTAAGTAATCTGCTTGTACCACTTTCTTAAATTATCAACTAGAATCAACTTTTTCACTTAGAAAAATAAGAATTTTAATTTATATTCTAAACCTAGTTTATTTTTTTTTGGTTAAAATAAAACAGAATCCTCATAACAGATATGAAAATATCTTAAAAAACTTATTTACCCACCTCACCCTTACCTACGTCTCAGTCCTATCCACCTGAAGAAAATCAACAGTTGAGGATGTATCTATCCATCCACACATTCTGTAAAAACAGACATGCATATAAACTGTTACGAGGAGTAGGGGAGTTAAAAATGGGGTCATTCTATGTACTTAGCAATTTCTTTCAACATGGATGGGCCTTCCTCATCTTTGGGCATTAAAGTCCTTAGTATGGATATACTATAATGTGTTTCACCATTCCCCTGTTTACATTCAGGTTGCTTTTCCTCTGCTCCTCCTGTTTAAATGTCATTGTGTCCCATGCTTTTCTCTTATGTATACTGGATTCTCCAAACTGTGTTCTGAGTTCTCACAGGTATTCCCAGCTGACTTTCTCAATGTCATCAGCAATAAATGTACAAAAGTGCTGGTTTTCTCTACATCCTTCCTAGAACTGAGAGTAATCATTGTCTAATTTCTGGGATTTTTTGCAAGAAATATCTTATTTGTTTGCAGTTTTAATTAATGCTTCTGATGACTAGTTGAATAAATGTTTGATGTCCACTCATCAATATGTAAGGCTTTCCTAGTTCTTCAAATACCCTCTATCTGTTTATATGGTCTTTTGCCATGTAGACAGTTTAAATTTTCATAGTATCAAGTCTATTTTTCCTGTAGTTGCTTTTGGATTTTCAGTCTTAAGGTCAACTCCATCCGAAAACCATTAACATCTAAATTTCTAAGTTTTTCCTGTTTAGATCTATAATCCATCCCTCAGCAAAATTTTTTATATGTGTTATGAGGTAGGATTCTTGCAGATGGATGCCCATTTGTGCCAATGCCATGTGTTTAAAATCCTTGTACAATTGAAACATAAATGTGTTTCCTGATCTTGTTCTTGCCTGTGAGTAGTATAGTTTTAATTAAGTTTTTCTGGTAAGATGAGGCTAACACTATTTTCCAAACATTTGGGGGCAGTTTCAAATACGTGAACTTTAAATTTATGTCTAGTTATTGAAAAACTCCTTTGAGATTTTGACTGTTTATTATATACATGTATGTAGTATGTTATGTATTAGTTCTAGATGGACTGGCATTGTCTTCCCATCCAGAAGCATTTTTCTCATCTCTTGTTGGATGCCCTTCAATGCAATATTAAAATTTAATTATATAATTGCTACACTTTTCTTGTCAAATTTATTGCTGGGTTTATGCTTTTTTGTCACTGTTGTTAGTAGGATCTACTTCTCAGTTCTGTTTTTATTGCTAATTGTATTTTTCTTATACATTTGATATCAATTTTCTTACTTGATTTTAGTGGTTTTCTAAGCCTTAAATACCAAGATTTTATTTTCAATATCCATGGTATTTATTGTATTGGAATCTCCAAAACAACCATGGATGATAAGTAATCCCTGTCTTGTCCCTGGACATCTCTTCAGTATTTTGACCAACTAATATTTTTGCTGTTCATCTCTAAGTGGTCTTTATATTTTAGATATTTTTCTATTTCTGTTGATAGTTGTTAACAGTCAGGGATTTCTATTTCAGCTCATATCATTACTATTTCAGCTCATATCATTACGGTTTCCTCCTTTTTTTGATACTTTACTTGACTATTACCACATTTGAGGTTAATGAATTCTTGCTCATGTTTTATAGTCTGCTAATGTTTCATTTAGAAAGTTTTCCATCTCATAAGTAATTGGCTCAGTTTTTGTAGTTGCTATTTTCTGATTTTTGTATTTTACCAGCTTTAAGGTGGATTAAAGAGATTTTTGTCTTCAAGTTTTATAATCTTTATCCACTCATTAAAAATTAGCTAAATTAATCTGTAACGTCACCTGGCCTGGTGCTGCTTATAATGGTAGCTTTCCATGGTTTTTGGGGTGTTTTTTAGGCCTCCCCTCCCATTAATAGAAAATTATCCATTCTAAATTTTTAAAATCAAAGCTGTAGAGGTATATTATTATTGAATCCCTTCTGTATTATAGTTATATCTTGTTCCTGATGTTAAATACTTTTCAGGCTTGCCTGGTTGGGGAGGGGGTGGGGTCTTTTACTGGTGTTTTGAAAGAACCAGGTTTTGGTGTTTTAGCTTTCATGTTAATTCTCATCTGTTTTTCTTTAGGTTTCTTTATTTTCTAGTTTAGGTTAAATACTTGATGTATTTTAGTACTAAAAGCCTTTATATGCACATTTTCCTCTGAGATAGCTGGCTTCTAAAGTCCTCTTTATCAATTGCTGTTTATTTCTTTTGTGGTCCTCTTTGATCTGGAGATTATTTTACTGCTTATTTTTTAAGTTTATTTTTGTCAGACATCTTTATGTTGGTGATTTCTATTTCAGTGGAGATGTGGTCTGTAAAAAGCCTTTTGAAACTGTTTTCAATGTAGATAAGTTCTTGATTGACTTTTATAAATATCCCGTGGATATAAGAAAGAATTTTAAAATAGACAGTTTTAGTAATTTATGTAGGCAAATAAATATAGCTGTTGAGAAAGTGTGTATGGGGGTTATATACACACGTGTGTGCACCCATGCACATAAATGCTTTTTTTCAGAGCCATTTGAAAGTAAATTTCAGGTGTCAAGATGTCACCTTAAAATATACATCTATCTCCTAAGAATTAAGGTCCTAAATAATCACAATCTTTTTATCACACAAAGAAAATTAACTCCATGTGTAACATGTAATACATATTCCAATTTCCTCAATTGTTCCAAAAATGTCTTAGGAACTTTTTTCCAATCCACAGTCAAATCAAGTTTCATATATTTTTGCATATAGAATAACTGCCCTGCTTTTTAACATGCATTGCCTAGGTCATTTGTCTTGTAGAATGTCCTCCATTCTAGATTTCTTGTCTGATTGTTTCTTCACAGTTAAGTTCAGGTATGCATTGTGCCAACTATATTAGGAATTTGTACAACTTATACATCATATTACAGTCACCGATCAGATTGTTACACTATTGGTAATACCACGTTTGATCATACCAGATAAGCTTGCAGTAAAGGTGCTGTTTTGTTTTTTGTTTTCAATTTAGCATCCATTAATGACACATGCTTTAAATAATTTATCTCACTGGAAGTGACATGAAGGTAATAATTTAATTCTGTCATCCTTTCTATATTATTGGACATCCAGTAAAGATGAGCTCCCACCCACAGACCTACCTTTTTTTGTTTTACTCTGGGTTTTTAAAAAATTGTTATAATCCACTTCAACAGTGATTCTCAAAGTGTCATCTGCAACCAGCAACATAAACATCACTTTGGAAGTTGTTAGAAGTGCACATTGGAATCAGTAACTTGGAGAGGCACTCAGCAATCTGTTTTAACCAGCCCTTCCCATGACTGGTGCATGCTTAGATTGGAGAATCACTACATAGTCTTTGTCCCAAATTAGGCCAGTGGACACCTGATAGGCAACTGCTTAAAAGGATGAGATTAATGTGAGATTTAGGAAGACATGCCAGATTAAACAAGTGGTGGGGGGGCGCAGGTGAGGATCACTTGTGTAGAAGAAAAAAGTGAAGCAAAATGTTCTTCCAGGACCCTGAAAGTAGGAGTGGTGAACCTAACATCTTAATTTTACATCCTACCATGACTTTTGAATCTTTGACTAAGAGCTGTATTACTTTGACAATGGAGAGGAAGAAAGGGGAGCACTGTGTGATCAAGAATAACCGAGGGGAAACTAACTGTAGGAGGGAATACTTGGCTCTCTTGTTCAGAGCTCTGAGTTGCTGTGCTTGTGCCACAAAAATTGTGTCCTTTACATAACTGATCATAATGAAAAACTACAAACCAATCAGGCGTTTATATGTCCTGCATTTTCTCTATTACCCTGTCATTGCTCAGCTAAGAAAGCTCAACTGTAGTTAGCCAGGTCAACAAGCTGACACTTGAGGGCACCCAATATTAAGAATGCGAATCTTTCTGACAGCTGAATTTTACACTAGAAGCCGGGGGTTCAAGTACCTGCACCGCCTCCTCGTAAGGGGGCTGTACGTATCTGAACTTGGGCCACTCCTTTCTCTGCCAAATGAGGGTCCTGGACTTAATGAGCTCAGAGTAAGAAGTCTACTTAACCCTCCAATGTTGATCTCTCCCAGCCTGCCTGGCACACCCATCTTCCAAGGGCGCGGATGGAAGTGGGGTGTAAGATGGGTCAAAAACGGCTATCTAGGCGCCAAGGCTGAAAGCCCACCGATGTCGAGGTTCTCCCCTCCGGGCCGCGATTGCCAAGAGCTGGAGAGGGCCCCCAAAAGACTGCAGCCAAGCCCTTAGCCCAGCACGCGACAGAACTGACGCTTAAAGTTCTTCCAATCTTTTTTTACTAGCGGTCTGTAACGGTTTTAACTAGTAGAGCCCGGGCGAAAGGAGGGACAGCAGCAACCATGGCAACCAGAGACCGGCGCGGAGAGGGCGGGACCGCGGGGCGGAAGGGGTGGGGCGGGGCGCGACGGCCCTCCGGCGCCTTCCGGGCGTTGATTCAGTGGCGGGAAAAGCGGCTCCTTCTTGGGTAGCGGCTGCCAGTGCTGTCTGGTGGCCCTTCGAGCCGAGGATGGAGAAGCAATCCGAAGAGCAAGCCGCCGCCGAGCCCGCGGACTCCGGAGGGGAAGGCGGGCCGCCGCAGGTCGCCGGCGCCCAGGCGGCGCGTCCCGAGGACCGCATGACCCTGTTGCTCAGGTTGTTCCCTCTGGCCGGCTGGGCCGGATCCAAGCTAGAGAGCTCCCCCACTTTGCTCAGAAGGTCCAGGGTTCGAATTTAGTCTCGGCCACCTAATGGCTGCGTGACTACCTCATTCGCTTACGCTCTTTAACCCCTTTCTTCATCTTGGAAAAAGAGAAAAATGAGATCCTCCTAGCAGAGTTGCTGTGGGGTTAAATGAGATAGTCTGGGCCAAGCCTTTAGCAGGGGATCCTTAGATCCCATGGAGCTGTAATTAATGCCTCCTTTCTTATCCCCTCATGTCCTAGGGTCCCAATTTTCCAGCCGTTTTGAGGGGTTCATCTGAGTTACTCCCTTTTCTTTTATAGCTACGGTCCTACAATCCAGAGGCTTCATTTGTTGTATTTTCTACCTGGAGGCAATGCTTATACTTAAACTAAGCTGTTGCTAAAGGAAGATTTGATGAAAAGGACATCAATCTTATACACCTGTGGGCAACTAGGGTCCTGGGCCATATCCATTCTACACTTTGTTTTTGGGTGCTCCCCACCACCCAAGCTGAGAATAGTTTCTTGTGTTAAAATGGTTGAGGGGAAAAAATCACAAGAATAACAGGTGAAAGTTATATGAAATTAAGTTTTAGTGCCGTTAAGTAAAGTTTTACTGGAACACAACTTTGTGCTGCAAGGGCTGAGTTGAGTAGTTACAGCAGATACCATATGACTCACAAAGTCTAAAATATTTGGTGTCTGGCCCTTGACAGAAAAACAAAATTTGCAGACTGCTTAATCATAACAGGGATTTTTTTTTTTAAAATAAGCTTTGTAACTGTATTACAGTATTGCCATTGATTTGGAAGACCTTGGCTAATAATAAACCTCACAACCTCACTTTAAAAATTCCATCCTACCGATCAATGCACAACAGGTTCCCCCAAACATGGAGTCTTGTGGTCCAGGTCTTTTTTGAATCAGGATGAGGGAGTGGTGGGTCCAGGTGGCGCTATTGGCCATGCCCCTGCTTGTGGCCTGTCTGCACATTCCGCCTTCCCCTCACCCCCAGCTTTCTCCTACTCTTCAACTCGTGGAATTTGTTAGGCAAGTTTTTCACCTACAAGGGATTGCACATCTTATACCAAGACTCTGGGTATGGTTGGAAGTCTGGAGATAGTCAGGCTTTTACCTGGCTTTCCAACATCTGGCTATGACTGGTACAAGATATAGGTAGGTCTGACCCTCAGGTTTCATCAAGTGATTGCCCTTGATTTCTTTGGCTTTGATTTCAGTGATAACTCGAGACCACACCACTATTCCGTATTTGAGCAGGCCAGCATCATGGGGGAGCTTTGGTGGCATCTGGGGCTCCAGAACTGCGGGATCAACGTTTTGTCTCATGATTATGGAGATATTGTTGCTCAGGAGTTGCTCTGTAGGTTCAAGCAGAATTGACCTGGTCTGCTTACCATAAAGTGTCTCTGTCAATGGAGTTATATGGCAACACTGATGAGAACTTGGTCATGGGCAATCTCTTACAGTATATCAATCAGAGGAAGAAGTTTAGAAGAAGCTGAATGCAAGCTCTTACCTCTATCTATCCCCATTCATTTTATCTGTGGGCCATTGGGTCTGGGGAATCCCTATCCAGAGTTTTTGAAGCTGTATAGGAAAATGCTGCCACAGTCCAGTAGCCATTCTGGATGACCACATTAGCCACTATCCACAGCTGGAGGATCCCATGGGTTTCTTGAATCCATATACAGACTTCATCAACTCCTGAGCTGGAAAGAGTAGCTTCCCTGTATTACTCCCCTGTTCCTTTAATCCATTGTGTATTCCACTTAGGAAGAAATGCCCAAAAGAGGTCCTGGCCACCAAACCCTGTTCTCTCACAAAAGTCCACCTGACCAACACTGGTGAACAGTGTATAGTAAAAAGGCAGCAAAAACTCTGAGTGACCTAATAGCCTGTATCCCATTCCTTTGACATCTGACCTACTATATGGACTTGCCTTCGTCTTTGTGTTTTTAGGAAATTCCAGTGAGCACTACTATTCACTGATGCAGAAAGACAGACATTCTTTTGCATAAACGTCTTTGTTTTCTTTTTTGTTTGTTTTTCTTTTGCATAAACATCTTTGAAAAACTTCTAAAAATAAGTAAATAAAAATTCCCTTCCCTTCAATCTACAATATGAAGTACTAAAATATTAAAGATACAGCATCTTTTCCATCTCAGCTAAAAAGGATTATTCTTTCAGTGTGTCATAAAATGTTAGTGTACTTAAACTCTAAGAAATTGTCCTTTTCAATTGGAATTTTGAAACATAAGGAACGTATTTCATGGAGCTTTAGAAACTTGTCCAATATTTCTTAGCTACTTAAGTCTCAAAGTCACAAACAGTTTCAGAATTATGACCACCAACTAAATGTGAAACATCTTGTAAGTACAACTTAGTAAGTTATTATTTTACCCATAGCTCTTCTGCCTATTTTATGTCTGATTCTTAAGTAAGTAGAATCATAGGACAACTAAAAAACTTAGAGTTACTTATCTATCGTAGGATTAGTATCTATGTTATTTTTCTGTATCTCCTGAGAATGTTTTAATCTGTTTGTAAATCATTATAGTGTTTGGGGTTTCACCATTATAGTGTTTCTTTGTTTCTTAGGGGGAGGTTTTTGTGTGATTGAAAAAAATTTGTGTGTGTGTGTTGTGGTGGAGAGGAGGTAATTAGATGTGGAGGTACTGGTGATCGTTTCCAGGACCTCATGTGTGCTAAGCACGCATGCCAGCACTGAGCTACACCCTCCCCAACATCTATTTCTTTGTGTAGCAGTTTTCTTTAAGTCTCATTTCAGTGTGGCCCATTAGAAATAAATTTAAAAATCAAATTTTTAACTTTTCCTCACAGGTTCTGTTTTCCTACAGTATTTCATTTTGTGTCTTTTTCTCAGGCCTTAAAATTCTTTATGCTCATTTTAAATAAAATGAGGCCAAACTAGATTAATGCTGTTTATTTATACTCTTTTTGTTACATCAGCTTCCAAAAATAGATGAGTTGGTTTATTCTATAGTAATGAGTAAAACCTCAGTCAATAAATATATGACTCTGTTCTTTTTATCTGTTTTCAGACTAAGAGCACAGACAAAACAACAGCTCTTAGAATATAATTCAATGGTTGATGCAAGTAAGTATTTTCATTTTCTAATCAGGTTTTGTGACTTTATGCATGAACAGTACTCCAGGGAAAAGAAAGTCAGTTTTACAAAAAGCTATTTATTTAAGGAATGGGAGGGGCAGCATGATGCAGCAGTATGTAAGAAGGCAAAAAGCAGGCTTGCCCTGGCCCTCAGGAACTAGTTAAGAATTCAGGGTATGTATATAAAACAACTAAATAACAAAGCCAGACAGTTAAGTTCTACTGATCAAAGAATTGGGAAATCCCTGTTTGCTGAAGGAATAATACTTATTACTACCAACAATTTGTAGATTAAATTAGCAGATTAGATAATTGTTAAACAAGTGACCTGAGACCTATGCTTTGAGAAACACTGGAATATAGGCATGAGAACAGAAGGGAGAGCAGCTTAGAGGCATGAGTGACAATTTCAATTCTAAACACAGAAAAACTTTACATTTATCTTTTAAAATTATTAATCCCGAAATTTCAGGAGCCTAGAGAGTAGTAAAAAGGTGGTTTAGCCTTCATAAAGTAATAACCACCTATTATTACCACCTGATTTATAAGCCCTTGAGTCACAAAGATAGATTTTGATGAGTTTTTCTCTATGAAATAAGCTTAAAAATAAACCATGTTGTACACTAGGTTGAATCAAGAATTATGGAAAAACCACAGGACCTCATCGATGTCTTAGTCACTTCCCTGAATCCATGTTTGAATTTAGGTAATTTGGGGACTCTGCTTAATCTCTTGTTTAAGGCCATAGACCTGAGCGCAGTTCTGGTGTGTTTTGCATCTGCATTCCAGGGTTTCTGAAGTCATCTTATGTGTGTGTGTTTTTTGTTTTTGTTTTTTTCCAAAAATTAGGCCCTCGGCCTCTTTCCTGCTCACTATAGCTAGTAAATTACTAAACTGGGATATGAGCCAGGCTTTCTTGCCTCCAAAGCCTTGTCCCTTTTGTTACATCAATAATGCTTACCCCAAAGATGACCAGTAGGTCACTGTCCTTCCCCTGGGGAAATTAGTGGTCTTCTTGTTTCCAAAGCCCATGTTCCTTGTATTAAACAAATTATGTTTACCTGAGAGAAGAGAGGTAGGACATGCCTAAAGCTTTTGCTGGCATGAGAGCCCACATAATAAAAAAAGCATAGTCTAGCTTAGATGACAGGGTGTAGGGGACAAGCTATTAAAAATTTGGACCATTGAGGAATTGTCCCTATAGGTATTTCTGGACTCCATTGAATGAATCCATGCTAGGGATGGAGATATGGTGTCGAACAAGACAGATTTTGCCCTCATAGAGTTAAAATTCCATGTAGCAAAATGGGTAAGCAAAGAAACACGTGGGGTGATTATGAGATATAGTAAGTAAGAAGGAAATAACAGTGTGATGAGAGGGGGTGCTACTTTAGATAGATGACTTCTTCAAGAAGATGGCATTGGAGCTAAAATTCAGGTGGTAAGAGAGTCTACCTCCTTGTACAGTTCTTGTTTTCCCTGTGTAGATAATTCCATTTTTAAAGGGTTGTGATACCTGAAAACTTGAGTACATTTAATAATCCACCCTCTAGAATTTCTGCAGCTGAAAGAGAGGACAGATTTGAAGCAAGCCATGAGACATTAGGTTGTATGTAACCTTTGAAAGAAGATGTTTATCTAAAATTGATTAGTATTTTACCATTAAAAAATATATTACTGAGACTTTATTCCTTGAATTTTTTTTTACTATAAGTGCATTCATTTTAAGGGTACAGTTTGATGAGTTTTAACAGATGTATACCTCAGTGTAACTACCACCACAATCAAGATATAGAACATTTTTGTCACACCTCCCTTGTGCCACCACACTCAGTCCCCACCCTCACCCCCAGCAACCACCAATTTGGTTTCTGTTACTGTAGATTTGTTGTCTAGAGTTGTGCTGTCCAATACAGTAGCCACTAGCTACATGTGGCCTTTAAATGTTAAAATTAAACATTTAGTTGTACTAGTCACGTAACAAATGCTCAATAGGTAGTTGTGTTTGGTGGCTACCACATTGGACAATGCAGGTGTTAAGCATTTCATTCGTCACAGAACAGCACAGTGCTGTTCTAGAAGTTGGTGTAAATGGAGTTATATAGCATGTATTTTTTTGTTACTGACAACTTTCTTTTATGACAATTCATGTAACAAAATTCACTATATTAAAATGTACAATTCAGTAGTTTTTTGTGTTATTTACAATGTTGTGCAACCATTACCGCTATCTAATTCCAGAACATTTCCATCACCCTAAAAAGAAATCTGGTACCTGTTAGTAGTCACTCCCAGTGTGTCTGCCTATTTGCATAGTATTTTTGTGATCTATCCATGCTGTGTGTTTCAGTATTCATTCGTTTTTATTGTAGAGTATATCTCCTGATAACTACCACAGTTTGTTAATCTAGCTACCCATTGATGAACATCTGAACTGTTTCCAGTTTTTTGCCCATTATGAATAAAACTGTTGTTAAATGCAGTTATCATTTGTACATATTTTTGTGGACATTTGTTTTCATTTCTCTTGATTAAATACCTAACAGTGAAATTATGGGGTCATATGGTAAGTGTATGTTTAACTTCTTAAGAAACTGCCAAACAGCTAAAACGATTATACCATTAGGGCAGATTTCCCCCGGTGGTGTTACGAGATTTCCACTTTCTCAATAACCTTTCCAAAACTTGGCACTGTCAGCCTTTTTAAATTTTAGCCATTTTAATAAGTATGTAGTGGTATTTCATGTGGTTTTAATTTACATTTCCCTAATAACTAATGATGTTTCTTTTCATACCTTACTGGCAACTTACATAGTTACTTTTATGAAGTGTTCAAATCTTTGCCCTTTTTTTCTTTGCCCATTTTTTAATTGAATTGTTAGTCTGAGTTTGAATCTTTAATTATAAATGAATACAGTTCTTTTTCAGATATATATATGTGTATATGGCAGATATTTTCTCCTAGTTTGTTGCTTGTGTTTTTAATTTTTTTTAACATGTCTTTTGAGGAGCAGAAGGCATTAATTTTGATAAAGTACTATTTTGCACTCATTTTTTCTTTTGTGGTTTGTGATTTTTGAGTTCTAAGAAATCTTTGACTACCCCAGGTTTGCAAAGATTTTCTCCTGTGTTTTGTTCTAGAACTTTTATATGATTTTAGATTTAACATTCAGGACTGATCCTTTTTGAGTTAATTGTGAGTATAGTGTGAGTCAAGGTTCATTTCTTTTCCATTTGGAAATCCAGTTTTTCTAGCACTATTTGTTGAAAAGACTTTCCTTTATCTTTCCTTTATTGTACATGTGTAGGTCTATTTCTGGACTTTTTCATCTGTCCTCTTGAGGTATTTGACTGTCTTTACAGTGGTACTTCACTGCCTCAATTACTGTAGCTTTATAGTAAATATTGATTATTAGCTACTGTAAGTCCTCCAGTTTTGTTCTTTGTCAAAATTGTTTTGACTATTCTAGGTCCTCTGTGTTTCTATATGCATTTTAAAATCAGCCTGTTAATTTGTACAGAAAAAAAAGCCTGTTAGACTGGAATTTGATTGGGATCTATAGAGCAGTATGGGTGAAGTTGTTACATTAGCAATAATGATTCTCCCAATAAATGCAGATGGTGTATCTTTTCATTTCAATATTTGATAGTGTCCAGTGTAGAGTTCATATACATAATTTGTTAAATTTATCTTTAAGTATTTTGTGGTTTTATATGCAAGTTTACATGTATTTTTAAATTTTAATTTCCAATCATTTGTTGCTAATATATAGACATACAGTTTTTTTACATTGATCTTGTTTGTTTTTTACTCCCCTTTATTTTCTATCATTCTAAAATTATGCTGTTCGATATGTTAGCCACTAGCTCCATGTAACCATTGAACAATTGAAATGTGATTAGTCTTCGCTGAGGACTGTAAATGTACAATATGCACAGAAAAAGTTTGTGAAATATTTCAATAATAATTCTAAGTTGACTACATGTTTAAATGATAATGTTTTGGATATATTGGGTTAAATAAGCTATATTAAAGTTATTTTCACTTGTTTCTCTACTTTTGTAATTTGGGGAAACTAGAAATAAAAAATTTCATATTTGTGGCTTCCATTTATTTCTGTTGGACAATACTTTTGTAAAATGTTACTAACTTCAATTATTTGTTTGTAGATGAAGAAAGAACTCCAGAACAAATCATACAAGAAAAGCAAATTGAAGCGTATGTCATATTTAAAATTTTTATTTGTGGTTTTTTACTAAGATTTAATAATACTTTTCATCATGTAACACTGTCTTCTTCCTTTATTTTTCCAAGTAATTCGTCATGCTCATATTGAGAAGTTGTACATGAGTGATCACTTTTGGCATTTCCCCCCCTTAACAAGATACTTAGGAAGGTATCTCAGGAGGCATCAGTTTACCAAATCTGTAAATGTGTTGGTGTGGGGATCCTGTAGAATATTTAGATACTGACATTTTACGTTCTTCAAAGATTTACTGTATACCTCTTTCCCAATAGTTACTTTTTCTGATAATGCTGAAATTTTTTTGTTCATGCTTCTTTGGCAGTAAAATTGAAGAACTGGAAAAGGAAATTGAAGAGGTGAAAGTTGCTTTTGAAATGAAAAAGCTTGCATTAGACAGGTAATTACTACATTTTAAGTATAAGCGTTGTGAACTGCGGTGCAAAATGGGTATGTCTCGAGGTGGAGGGAATGTTTTAGCTAGTTTGAATTAATCAAAATGATGATTAGCTAATGATCACAAATTTTGAGCCCTGAGAGAAAAGTTTCATCACTCATTAGCATCTTCATCTGAAGAACTTACATAAGAGAGGGTTAATAAGGAAATGTCAAACAAGACAACAGATGTGTGAGGTTTAATCCCAGTTGCGTTTGAAAGGATTACATGGATTCATTTATTCTAGTAACTCTTAAGGAGTAAAAGAATTATCACTGAATTTAATTATATTTTTAATGATAGGTTTTGCATCTGTATTTTTTAATTTATTCTATAAATATTTGAGTGCTTACTGTGTCCTAAACTTTGTGCTAGGTGCTGGTATAGAGATGTTAATAAGACCTACATGGTCTCTATATAAGCTTGTGATCTGAATTAATAATCTAAAGTGACTGACTTACAGTTTTTTTCTTAATATTTCTGGCCTTTCCAGATTAATTTCTTCATGTATTTAATTGAAAACCAGTTAAAGCCCTTTTAATTGCTTCTAGTAGTGAACTTTTTCCCCTCATCTTGTATGCTAGCTCATCATGTAGATCATATTTTTTAACTCAGGTGACTTCAGAGCTATTAAGATAACCCCTTCAATGAAATGACTAATGTTGCTGAGTTGATTATTACTTATTTATTAACTATTAGAATTTAAAAATAAATTATAGTGGTTGTTTGCACATAGACATATTTTAAAGTTTATAGTCAAGTATGGCTTTGTATTCCCTGACTCATTTCAGGCCCTAGCTGATCTCTGCAGTGCCTTTTTTTCCTTCCAGTTTTATTGATGAGTGATTGACATACGTTACTGTTTAAGTTTAAGGTATACAGCGTAACGATTCAACTAACATACATCTGAAATGATTATCACAGTAAATTTAGAGGACATCCATCATCTCATATAGAAACAAAATTAAAGAAATAGAAAAGAATTTTTTTCTTGTGATGAGAACTCTTAGGATTTACTCTCAATAACTTTCATGTATAACTTACAGCAGTGTTAATTTATTTATCATGTTGTGCATTACATTCTGTAGTACCTTAATGCCTCCTCCTAGCCCTGCACCAAGGTGGACAGCTTGGAGAGCAAAGCTCAGGCTGGATGTGAGGTCTGCTCAGCCCCTCTGCCTGGCAGTGCACAACCACGTGCAGCAGCCCCATCCCTCTTGGAGTTATTTCATATTTCTGTGACTTACTTATCATAGTATTTCCATACAGTACTGTTTAAGAACCTACTTTTGTTTTGTTATATTTAAAGAGAAATCAATCTTTACCTTGTTGTGTTTTTAAATTTTCTTTTGAATCTACCATAAATGTTATCCATTTTTTATAATGGAAGCTTTTTTACTCTCATAGGATGCAACTTTCAACTGCACTTAAAAAAAACCTGGAGAAAATGGACATCAAGACTAGGTATGGGTTTTTTTTTTCTTTCTGGATTTGGTTAAGGATGGGAATAAGAAAGATCAGCATAATGACTATCTCCACAAAATTTTTTTTTAAATTAACTGCCACTGCTGAACACTTTTTTCTGGGGAGTAAGACAAGTGACTGTTTTGGGGGTCTCCTCATCATTACAACTTTTATAGTCCCATTGACATCTTGTTCCATAGTGGGACCCTAAGAAGTAATGGAGGTTTTAGCTAGACCATCTGAAAATTTTGAAGGAAGGTTTTGAAGGTTAATTTTTGTTCAGGGTTTACTGTAAAACAGGAACAATGCTATCTCACTTAGCCAATAACAACCCAATGAGATAGGAGGTATACTCATTTTTCATTGGCAGAAATGAGCTTATATAGGTTAAATAATTTGCCAAAGGAATATAAAATAAAGACTCTGATGATCAAGGTCATTTATAATCTGGTCTTAAGTGCTTAACCTCAGGGGCCTTACCTGTGATTTTATCTTCCAAAGCTCTAATCTTATGATAAATACCACCACCATCCCATTAGCATGGGATAAGTACCAAGATGAATCTGGCCCTTTCTCTGTCTGGACATCTTAACCCAGATTGATACCCATTTCCCCTATATTGCATTCAACTCCAGGATTACATAAATCGTAAAATCTGAATTTGGACTCTCCAAATAGTGTTCCCCCAGAAAAGGAGAGCTTAAAATATTCTTTAGTTTAAGGGGTACAGGACAGATTCATCACCTTAACATCCAAAGACAGCAGAAAGGCTGAGTAGCCGGAGGCAGTTCCTTTAGCATGTCTTAAGAGTTTACAACCATGTATAGCTATAACTTGTAGAAAATGAGTTCAGCTCTGTCAGGTCTGTGCAAAGATTCCCCTTTTTCAGCCTCCCCAGTAAACTGTTTCTACAGTGTTTGTCACAGCTGGCTGACTATCAGAGTAATTAGTATTATCACAGTGATCACATTGCTGGTCCCATCCCAAACCTACTGACTTAGCATCTCTGAAGATGGTGGGCTGGCACTCCACATTTAACAAGGCTCCCAGGGGACTGTGGCAGTCTGAAGTATGAGAACCACTGTTCCTGCCCAGTCTTATTTCATACCCTTTTACTGCAGTCAGGGCAAACTGCTTGATCTAGGTAACCTATATAATTACACTTGACTCTTGAACGATGGGTTTGAACTGTACAAGTCCACTTACATGCAGTTTTTTTTCTTCCAACAAATATGGTACCTGTATTTTCACTTTACAGATCTCTGGATTAAGTGTGGGGAAAGTTTGTATCCAGTTAGAGATCACAGTATGTGGGGCACTAGGGTTTGATCCAAAACGTTTCAGCTTGCTGCCTTTGTCTTTGTGGCAGAGGTAGCAGTACTCTTGACTGTGGGGTGGTCTGTACCGCTAACCACCATCCCACCCACATTGTTCAAGGGTCAACTGTACTTTACATCCCTTAAGACTCAAGGGTTTCCCTTGTTCCACCCTTTGCATGACTCTTAACAATGATTCGTATCCATTACTGACTGTGATGAAACCATACTATGGTTGTGAATTTTTCTCCCTGATAAGATTCTTTCCTCTTTGAAAACAGGTACTGTGTTTTACTCTATTTTATATTCTTGGTGCCGGGCACAGTTCTTGGCATGTAGTAGTTACTCAGAAATATTTGTTGAAGAATTGGGGATAAAAAACAGTTTATTCAGTGAAACTATTGTGTTTGATACTATAATGGTAGATACATAAAAATTATACATTTCTCAAAACTCATAGAATGTACAACACCAAGAGTAAACCCTAATGTAAACTATGGACTGGGTGATAATGATATGTTAGTGTAGGTTCATCATTTGTAACAAATGGACCCCTCTGGTCTGGAAGGCTGTGCTAGTGTAGGGCAGAGGGAATATAGGCTCACCTTCTACTCAGTTTTGCTGTGAGCCTAAAACTGGTCTAAAAAATAAAGTCTGTCCCCCCCCCCACAAAAAAAAACAAAAAAAACAATGTGTTAGGGAAGTTATTAAGATTTTTTTCTCTCTAAATACGAGATTTTTAGAAATGCTCCTGCATGCATAGATATGATATTCTGTGTTGTCTGTGAGCAAAAATTTTTCTAAAGAAATGTATCACTAATTTTAAGTGAAGACTTAGTTTACATCCAGCTTTTTTTATTTTGTTAAACAATGACTTTCTATTGACATATACAGTGGATATAATGAAAGTAAATGTATACTGATTTCTTCATTGAGATTTGTTAATTTTAACACTTAATAAATCATATTTTTATTCCTTTACAGTGCACTCATGGATAACATGAAACAGATATTAAATCTCAATAAATTAATAATGAAATTACAGCAGGTAACTTGTGCCATTAAGCTGTTTATGCATTCTCATGATTTGAGCAACTACTTCTTGCTGATAACTATTGTCTGTGACTAAATAGGATTTTGTAAAGAGACTGGTATGGTTGGAATTCACTGTCCTTAAGTGTTTTTTGTAACTCCATTATTTCTGACTAATATAGTTAATTATCTACTTATTTAAGCTACTGTACTCTCCCTTTTATTGTGTGGAAATAGGGGAATTAAAAACTAGAGCCCTAGAAAGTATGAACTAATAGATAAATTTTAGTGATTTAAGTTTTATAGGTGTGTTCTTAGATTATGTCCTTTAATCTTTTTATTTCTAATAACAGGAAACTTGGGATTTGGAGGAAAAATTGCTTGATGTTAGAAAGAAGAGATTGCGTATGTAGAACTTTTTTTTTGAGAACATGTTTTCACTTAGGGATATTGAAAAGGCCAGATCTCTCAGTCACTAAAAACTTTTTTAATTTTCAAATTTTCTTAAAACTTTGGACAAGGCAATTTAAAAAGTAGTATACAAAATGGATTTTGCTTGATTTGTTGTTTTAGCACTTTAACTCACAAAAATTAATACATTCTCAGTAGGGGGAAAACAATCAAATGATACAAAAGTATAATGTGAAAGTCATGCCTCCTTCCTGTGTGACCACAGTTAGGCCTACATCATTCCAAGCCCTTTTCCATACCCATGTAAACATATTTATGTATACATAATTTTTAGATGATCACTTGATACGTAGGGTTCTACCTCTTTTTAACTTAACGAACATGACACGACATTTTGCATTGATATTATTGAAATGTTTTATTGAAATGTATTTCACAAGTAATACACATTCTCTATAGAGAATTTGGAAACAAATATACACAAGAAAAGTCAATTTTTAAAAAATTTTATTTTACAGTCAAAAGATAATCGATCTTCAATGTTTATTTCTTATACAATAAAATTGGCATCATTTTATTCTGTATTGTAAACTGCTTTTTTCATTTAACAGTGTAGACATGATTTATTTTAAAATATTATATAGATCTGCCTGTTTGTTAAGTAATTGCAGGGTCCAAAGTCGTCTTGGTTATATGATCTAATCACCCTTTGAATGTTTTAATTTTTTTTCCATTGCATTCCAGCCTACTTTTGATACATCAGTATCAAGGAACCAAGCTCCTGAGATAGACCCATTTATGTTTCACATACAGTCTGTCCCCAACATAGGATGGTTTGACTTAGGATTTTTTGACTTCCCAAGGATATGAATTCCGTAGAAACCATTCTTCAGATTTTGAATTTTGTTCTCTTCCTGGGCTAGTGATATACTCTGCTTATGTAGGACCGCAGCAGGGAGCCCCAGCTCACAGTCAGCTATGCAGTCATGAGGGTGAACAACCAGTACACTTACAGTTATGTTTTCACTTTTATTCAACAGATTACATGAGATATTTAACACTTATAAAACAAGCTTTGTGTTAGATGATTTTGCCCAATTTCAGGCTGTTGTAAGTGTTTGGAGCACATTTAAGGTAGGCTGTGCTAGGCTGTGATGTTTGGTAGATTAGGTGTACTAAATGCAGTTTTGACTTACGATATTTTTAGATTAACATGGATTTATCAGGACATACTCCATTGTAAGTGGAGGACGATTTGTAGTTTATTTCTCAGAACTTTTCCAGAACAACCAAAAATGGTTGATATTTATCCCTGGAGAAGGGACTTTTACCTTTCACTGAAAATTTATCTTGTTGATATGTCATTTTTATAAACAAAGGGGAATAAAGCATATAACTCGTGCTTGTTTTTTTGGCAACCCAGAGTAAGTCTTCCTTGACATGATGCCATGGCAAACATTTGTAGGCAGTATCATTGTCATGCATACATACCTTGAACATTTCACAGAGGGCATTGCCAAGTGTAAAGTTAAAATATTGGTGTTTTGCACCAGGGAAATCATTTCCAGGTCAAAATGAAACTGCAGCCCAGAAAGCTGCTAATTAAAAGTTTTCTCTTGACTGAAATAACCAGAAACTGTTCTGCTTCATAAGTTTTTAAGATTCTTGTTTATAGGAGTTGTCATATACAGTATACTGTTTTATTTTTAACCTAATAGAGTTAAAACAAGCTTCAGAAAGTAAGCTTTTGGAAATACAGACTGAAAAGAACAAACAGAAAGGTGATTTGGACAGTATGGAAAATTCAGACAAGATAAAGAACATACAACAAAACCTGCAGAAGGAGATACAGATTACTACAGTTATTCAACATGTGTTCCAGGTAACATTTATATAAGATAGAAAGGGAGGTAAAGAATTTTTTTTAAATGATTGATTCTATAACGTTCAGGCTTACTTTCACTTTGTCTTTGATCTTACAAAACAATTTAGTACTGAATATTGGTCTGTTTACATATATCTGGAATTCGTGTCTATTTAATATTAATGGCTTTGTTTTTACATTACAGTTATATCTTGGTTATGTTTGTTTGTTTTGGGGGGTAGGTAATTTGGTATTTATTTTAATGGAGGTACTGGGGAATGATCCAAGGACCTCGTGCATGCTAAGCACAGCACTTCACCACTGAGCTATACCCTCCCTCCACCCTTAGGCATTTATAAATGGAGTGATTTTAGCAGCTCTGTGGAGGCAGAATGGTATAATGGTGGAGAACATTAGACTCCAAGTTGGTAGGTGGGGAAAACATGGTTGGGGATGATGGGAGTCTAGAGTTAAGATCTTCGTGGCTGCTTAACAGTTGCTGACCTTGAGGAAAGTATTTAACTTTTCTAAGCATTAGTTTCCTTGGGTAGAAAGAATCGTTGTGAAAACTAAAGGTGATAATTAATGTTAATCTGTTTAATATAGTATCTAGTCCAAAGCAGGTTCTCAGTAAATATTGGTGTTTATCATCATGTCAGTTTTTAAATTTTATATGTTCTTTTATTCTGGAGGTTTTCCTTTACTTGAATTATAAGATGTCTCTGGAACTGTTGAGATGAAGTACTTAAATTACCAGTTTTCAATTATGAAGATACACAGTTAAAACTGCCTATTATGCATAAAGCATATCCTTGTAGAACATGAGGTCTTATATCTCACCATAAGAAATTCTTTCCCGGGTCTTACACCTATTTTTTTTTAGTAGCTTTGAGTGATTTGATTAGGAATCAATCAAGTGGATTATTGCATCATAAATGCAGTACATAAGTACAAAATAACTTAAAATCATTTTAATTTTCTTTGGCACAGGTTCCTTACTGCTGTTTGAGATTTCTATTATTCTGTGTTTCTTAATTTTTATTCACATCCCCTAAAGTAGTGTTACTTTTGATTTAATGAACCTGTTGCTTTGTTAAACAGATACAGCTTTGCCCATCTTAGAAGCTCTCTTTGTTGCTAAAAGAAGATCAGCCCTTAGGGGTTCAGTCATGTTTGAATGCTTATCTCCACCTGCCTTTGTAAATTTGACTGGATTTATATACATTAGCCCTTTCATTCACTTACAGCAAGAATGTGCCTTATATAGGCCAAAGTTTTTCATACTTTTACGTAATACATATAGCAATATAACACTTATATTCTAAAATCTCTTTTAACAGCATTGCAATTAGTAATTCAGTATAATTGAACTGTAGTTTTTCAAAGAATGCCCAGAAGTTTCATTAATTTTGAACTTCATGAAGCATTCCTCCATTGTGTACCACAAAAATATGCTTCACCTTTGTCAGGGTCTTGAAACTTTGCTGAAGGCTAAGAACTAAGCTCTTCTTTTATTTCTTTTAAAAATAATGCATATTAATTACACTTGAATTATTTTTCACCTAGACATGCAAAATAAACTCTGAACCACAGCTGCAGTCTTTTTCCTTTAATCTAGGTACTACTGTAAGTATCCTTAATAGGTAAAAACTGTCCGCAAAAATTGGTGAAACATAAAAAATTGTTGTAACCATTGTAAATATTCCCCAGCATTACGGAGATCAAGGCTGAAGCCTTAGTGAAGGAGGAACTGATGATACAAGAAAGTATTACTATTTTTTCTCATGTTACAGAGTAAATGTTCACACCTAGTTCGGTAAATGTTTGATAAGATCAGTGAAAGAGGATTAAAAATAATCTTGTTAAAGTACTTAGAACTTTAATTTTTTAAAAATATTTTTTTAAATTACAGAACCTCATTTTGGGGAGTAAAGTCAACTGGGCAGAGGATTCTGCCCTTAAGGAAATGGTTCTGCAGCTTGAGAAGAATCTCACCATGATCCAATAACAATTCTGTTCGGGCATTTTTTCTGTCTCTGATGTCATTTAAATTGCAAATTTCAAGTGACATGTTTTTTCAGTCTTCAGTTTGGAACTGCTCTAATACTGCAATTTTATTTTAGCTTGAGTTAACATTGTATTGCAACATGGAATATATTGCTTTAAATTTTACTACAGAGACTGGCATATTCTAAAAGAATCCAGAAATCTCAGCCTTGGAAGGGCTCCAAAAGATATCTACTCCAGCTTTCCACTGAATGTGGACATTTCTTCTATAATATTCCTGGAAGTCCTAACTCTCATTTGGAATTCTTCTATGTATTTGTTTGTTAACCAAAATATTGGAAAGTTAGAAAAGCCTATCCACATATTTACTTCTTTTCCACTGTCATTGTATTTTATCAGATAAATTTCATTTTAGTTCTAACCACAGATTTTTTTTTGCCTTTTTTTGAGACATAATTGATACATAACATGTGTAAAGTTAAGATGTACAACATGTTGATTTGACCACCATGGTATTAGCTAACATCTCCACATGTCACATAATTATCATTTATTTATCCTGATGAAAGCATTTAAGATTAGTCTTTTAGTAACTTTGAAGTATGTAATGCAATATTGTTAACTAGAATCACAATGCTGTGCATTAAATCTCCAACATTTATTCATCTTCTAACTGTAAGTTTGTACCCTTTGACCACCATTTCCCTAGTTCTTCCACTCCCCATCCACATCTTCAAACAGAGACCCAAATAAAACATGACCCAAATCAACCATGAAAAAGAAGGAAAAAGAAAAACATATTCAAAACGTTAACAGTGTGGTTATTGTAGAGGAGTTATGACTTTTTTCTTCTATATTTCCATGTTTATCATGCATTACTTTTTATAAGTTTAAAAATAAAAAAGAATGTTATTGTCTTATTGAAAAAATAGAACTTGCCACCTTTTATAGGATCCAGTTCCATTTTTGGAAAACTCTAATTTGAGCTCTATTAATTTGGTGCTATTGATCATTTTCATAGACAATGTAATATTTTCAACATTCTTTTAAGAAGGACTTTAAACTTGAAAAGATGCACCGCAGTGGATAAGCATTTGAAATCTGTTCTTTAGATCAAAAACAGAAATACAGAGATTTGCCTGAATTTTAATTCTAAGCATCTTTCTTTGGAATATTTATAGTTTTGTTTCATTTGTTTTGATAAACTATAATTTATGTGTAGTTTTTTGTTTTATGTATAGTTATTCTTTTTGCCACACTATATTCTTGGAAATTGTCTACATAAATTGTAAAACAAGCTATATTTTTCTTACAAAAAAAATTCTGGAAAATACCTTCCTGATCCAAAGTACAGCATTAAATAAATCATAGATGCATACTTGATTAGTGTATCTCAATTCAATGTGTTGTCACCATCCTCAGAAAAACTTTTTGCGTTTTCCTGAGATCTTACTGTTCTGTTGTGTGTTCCCTCTTATAGCCTAGCTCTGAGAGAGAAATTGTATTCGTTAGCTTTCTTGGAAATCATGCTGAATAACAACCCCAAATCTCTGTGGCTTGTAAAAAAAACATTTCTCTGTTGGATTCCTGGTTTGGTTGATCATTCTAGGACCCAGGCTGAGGGAGCAGCCACTATCTGAAACCCATGCTCATGGCTTATGAGGCCAAGTCAAATTATACAAGCACATTTAAAGTTTCTACTTGGAAGAGGTGTACGTTATTTCCACCCAGGTTCCACTGACCAAGCTCAACATCACTGAGACAGGAAAGTATACTTCTACAGCAGGGAAGTGTTGAGTTTCAGAGTAGGGGAAGGAAAATGGATATTTGCTGAAAAGAATATAGTCTGCCGCAGCCTCCTACCTTGGTCTTAAATATAAACTTCCTTTCTGCATGTAAAAGATGTACCTCTCCCCAAGGAAGATAAACTAACAATGTCATCCAATCACAGCAGTTTTAAATAGTCTTAACACTAATCCAGTTGTGGCTCTTCCTGATCTGGAGAACTATGAACTGAAAACACAAGTTATGTTGCTTTACACAGCCAGCAAACAATAGTGGCCAAGGACTGTAGCAGTTCTGAAATATTGCTTGGCAAATGATAGGAGGTGCCCCTTCCTAAGAGACAGGGAACACCTTTGGAGTAGGCTCTTTTACTGCTCTCTGGAAGCCCTTTTTCATCTGTGGTTCTTCACTGCCCTTTGGGAGGTTCTCCCTGTCCGTTACTAACTCTGGCCATATCTGAAGAGGGCATTACAGAGTATGCCCACTTGAGCAGCTTTCTCAGTTGAGGACCCAGAGATCTTTTAACATCTCAACCAGTCAGTCTTTTAAAACCCAGGCTAGTGGTGCTTTAGTTAATATATTTTTCTCCAAAATGATGGTGGTCTTGGTGATGGCTCTTTAGTTGGTTATTTCATCACATCAAATTATGTGTTACCAGGTGTCTGTTTTTTAAATAAAGTTTTATTGAAACAAAGCCACACCCATAGGTTTACCTATCATCTACGGCTGCTTTCTGCCTGCTTATGGTCCCCTGCTTATGATGGTTCAACTTGGGATTTTTCAACTCTATGGTGTGAAAACTATATACATTCAATGAACCATTCTTCAAGTTTTGAATTTTGATCTTTTCCTGGGGTACCATTACTCTCGTGATGCTGGGCTGCAGCAATGAGCTACATCTGTCAGCCTCATGATCACAGGGGCAAACAACCAATATGCTTAACAGCCATTCTCTTTTTCACTTTCAGTACAGTATTCAATAAGTTACATGAGATATTCAACACTTTATTATAAAATAGGCTGTATGTTAGATGATTTTGTCAAACTGTAGGCTAATGTAATTGTTCTGAGCATATTTAAGGTAGGCTAGCCTAAGCTGTGATGTTTGGTAGGATGCATTTCAATTTAGGAAGGACATTTTCAACTTAGGATCAGTTTATTGGGACATAACCCCATCATAAATTGAGGAAGATCTATAGTGGAACTGAATTGAGTATCTGCAACAGATTATATGTCCACCACCCCAACCTCTTCTTACAGTCATTGACTTGAAGAAACCAGTTGCCCTGTAGAATTGTCTGGTTGTTTCTTAGTATTTTATGTAGTTTGTTTCACCTATGTACTCCTGTAAAGTAGAATTTATGTCTAACTGCCTTACTAAATGTAGTTTTAAATTTTTTTATCAAGAAAATCCACAAGTTGTGCTAGATACTTTGTACTGCATCGGATCAGGAGGCTGTCAAGCATGCTGAGTTTTGCCTAACAGATCTACAGCCAGTGTCAAGAACAAGGTACGTGGGAAAAGAAAGAAATTAAAGGCTAGGTAAGATAGGGACATTAAGAGGCACAACATAAGAGGTAGAATCAGATGATGTGCTACACGGTTCCATTAAAATAGCCAAATAATAGCATTCAGCATATAGACTATTGACTGAAAGAAAAATGCACCACATAAGAGCTGTGATTTGAGTTTTATTCAGTGTCTTAATTGAGGACTATCCCAGGAGACAGCAACTCAGCAGAGGAACTGCTCCAAACAGGTAGGGGGATAGGCCAGTATACATGTGATTTTGACTAAGAAGTATGTGCAATCCAGCATATGTCTCTGTAGAAGGTTACTGCTAGTCAAGAAGAACAGATATGTTAGTTAACAATTTTAGTGCTTTCCTCATGAAAAAATGCTCAGTATCACTAATTATCCGAGAAATGCAAGTCAAAACTACAATGTGGTGTCACCTCACACCAATTCAGAATGACCATCATTCAAAAGTCCACAAATGACAAATGCTGGAGAGGCTGTGGAGAAAAGGGAACCCTCCTACACTGCTGGTGGGAATGCAGTTTGGTGTAGCCACTGTGGAAAAAAGTATGCAGATTCCTCAAAAGACTAGGAGTAGACTTACTATATGACCCTGGAATCCCGTTTCTGGGCATATATCCAGAAGGAACCCTACTTCAGGATGATACCTGCACCCCAGTGTTCACAGCAGCACTAGTTACAATAGCCAAGACATGGAAACAGCCTAAATGTCCATCAACAGGTGACTGGATAAAGAAGATGTGGTATATTTTTACAATGGAATACTACTCAGCCATAAAAACCGACAACATAATGCCATTTGCAGCAACATGGATGCTCCTGGAGAATGTCATTCTAAGTGAAGTAAGCCAGAAAGAGAAAGAAAAATACCATATGAGATTGCTCATATGTGGAATCTAAAAAAAAAAAAACATAAATACAAACAGAAGCAGACTCAGAGAGAATACAAACTTGTGGTTGCCAAGGGGGAGAGGAGTGGGAAGGGATAGACTGGGAGTTCAAACTTTGTAAATATTGACAGGCATATGTAGAATAGATAAACAAAATTATACTGTATAGCACAGGGAAATATATACAAGATCTTGTGGTAGCTCACAGCGAAAAAAAATGTGACAATGAATGTATGTTCATGTACAACTGAAAACTTGTGCTCTACACTGGAATTTGACACAACATTGTAAAATGACTATAACTCAAAAAAATGATTAAAAACAAAACAAAACAATTTTAGTGCTTTCCTAAGATAGAGAAGATGCAAGATTCTAGGTTCGTAAAAATTCTTCCTGAACTATATCTACCTATCTAAGGGCCTGTTTTGCCTGTTCTCCCAAAACACAGAGTGCCTCCTCCTGTTCTTCATCCTGCCTCTGAGGATGTACTGTAGGTCAGCAACTGCAGTGGCTAATGACTTGATCTTTGTAGGACTGGATGGTGGACAACATTTTTTGGTTCATGAGACAAAAATCATGAGATCAACATGAGATGGGTAATCAAATGATCTAATGACAGGAGGCTGACTGAAACTGAGCAGCAGGAAGATAAGATTTAGGGATTGAGGCAGTTTGCTGCCCCAGTTTTAGCTACTTTTATTGTCTTCATCCTAGAGAGAACTAATCCACAAGAAACCTGGATGAGAATTCTGTGAAGGAGTATGAATGCCAACACTTACAAATAAATTCACAAGTAGAGAAAAGAGCATTTTCCTGTAGGGCTCCCCAAAACAAACTTCATGCCAACATGACCAATGATTTGTACTGCATTTGACATTTTCTGAATTTATCATCAGTTATTCCCAGGAGACTTCTCAGTATTAGAGGACTTGGAAAGTTTATTTATTAAATTATTTTAATGGAGGTACTGGGGATTGAACCCCTCCCCAGCTTTACTGAGGTCATTGGCAAATAAAATTGTAAAATATTTAAAGTTTATAATGATAATTTGATACATATGTACATTATGAAAATATTCCCACAATCCAGTTAACACATCCAACATCATACATATTTACCTTTTTTTTTTTGGTGAGAACGTTTAAGTTCTACTCTCAGCAAATTTCAATTATACAATACAGTGTTATCAACTATAGGTCACCACTTTTGAACTTGTAAGAATACATTAGTCTACCTGGTTTCAGCAATGGTGATTTTAAAAAAAATTAATACACTTTATTTTTTAGAGCAATTTTAGGTTCACAGCAAAATTGAGCACCAAGTACAGAGTTCTCATATACCTACTGTCCCCACACATGCACAACCTCCCCCACTATCACCATCCTCCACTAGAGTGGTACATTTGTTATCACCCAAAGGTTGTATATTCTATGGATTTTGACAAATGTATGACATGTGTGCACCATTACAGTATCATACAGAACAGTTTCACTGTCCTAAAAATCCCCTGTGCTCTGTCTATTTGTCTCTCTCTCCCTGGCAACCACTGATATTTTTACTGGATTTATAGGTTTGCCTTTACAAGAATGTTATATTGTTGGAATCATTCAGTATATAACTTTTTTGAGTACCATCTTTTACTTCTACCGACGATATCCATTTGGTGCCTCGTTCCCTACAGCTTCCCCAGAGCATACTGTCCAAATTATGTCAGTTGGCCAGTTTGATGGATTAAAAATTGTGTTTCAGTGTAGTGTAGATTTTTCTTAGAATAAGGGAAGTTGGCTGTCTTTTAAGTTTCAAGGGCCAGTTGTGTTTCTTTTCTGTAATCTTCCTGTTCATATGCTTTGCCCATCTAACCACTTTTGTGAAGGAAAAGCCTGGCTGGGCTAACAAGCTAACTCACAAATCTAAGTGTAACAAGTGTCGGATTACTGATCTAAATTCTGCTGGGCTAACTCGTAAATCTAAGTTAATTAGTGTTGGTTTGCTGATTCCCTGTCTATTTTTGGCTAGCCAGCTGGATTTTCAAAGAGACATATCTGGCCTTGAAATGTTGGTTTGCTGCCTCCCTGCCTCTACTTTTGTGATAATGATGCTGCTAAAGCTGTTCCATGCCTATTGGCCGAATACCCCAAGCTTGTAATTAACCTTATAAAACCTCATGCACATGTCTTGGAGGTGCTCAGAGCTTTGGAGCAGAAGCCCCTCTGAGCCTGCCGACGTAATAAATCTGAGTACTCCAACCCTCTGAGTGGTGCTTGTTTCTTGCTGGTCTGTCATTTCCGTAACACTTTATCAATCTGATTTTAGAATATTTGCTGCTAAAACAAGCTTTGAAAGCTTTTGAGAAAAATAGATTTCTGATGTCCTCCACAGACATTCTGAATTAGCAGGGCCCATTTTTAGGCTCAGTAACTCTCCTAGATTTAGAAACCACTGAGCTAGAGCATCAAAACAAATTTGTCACTCTATTTACAACAGCGTAAGTCTACATTACCTACAAAGTTTAGTGGCTGCAACATATTGTGTAGTAAAGTTTTTAACACTGTAAACATTAATATTTACTATAGAATTTAATTTAACTTGGGGTAATGATATAGATGACTTGTGTTTAAAAAACAAAAACACTTCAATTTTTGAGTTCTCTCAAACTTGAAGCAGGCAGCAGTTTCATATCAGGACTAGTGGCAGAGAAAGCAATCAGAATACCAAATCAAGCAATGCTAATAAGCAAGGGAATACGAGGTGGTCTTGTATAGAACCAAAATTTACCATTCTTTCTGAGCTTGATGTTTACTCCTAAATTTTAACAAGCTTGCTTGTTTTAGGAAGCTCCAAGAGTTTATATTACCTATTTGGTTTCAGACTACATTTTGGACTACACTGAAATTAAAAACTATCCGGAGAGGAAATGTTCCTAGATCACGCATAGGCTGAAGAGCAAAAATAAATCCAGTTATCACAAACCTTCGTCTGCAAAATGAAACAATGGGAAACACGTGGGTCGTTCCTAGGCAGAAGAGGGGCGGGGCGGGGTCAGGCTCTAGTGGGTGGGGTTAGCTCCACTGTGGAGGCGGGTCCCTCCCGACCGCTCGCGCCTCCCCGTGACGTCACAGGCCAGGCCCGCCCCCAGCCGCCCAAGGACTCCTGTTATAGCCGCTGCCCGCTAGCGCCCCGGAAGCTGCGCCTTCTCGAGGGTCATGATGGGCAGCAAGATGGCGTCTGCTAGCAGGGTCGTTCAGGTAAGGAAATTCGGTCTCTTACGCGGCGTGGGCGGTAGGGATGGTGCTGACTATACCAACGGCGCTGGGGAGGAAAGGCGGTGGCGGAGGCTGCGCTGTGACCGCGGCCCTGGGTAGGGCCAGCAGCGGCGCCTGGGGGTGTACGTGAGAATTGGACCTGAGCTGGTTGGGTCGGGCAGTGAGCCGGGGACCGGAGCTGAGGGTTCGAGCCAGGCCGCGGCAGTGCATCTCAGGAGTTAGGCACGCAGGTGCTTCGAAGTCTCTGGACTGCCCTCCACCAGCACCTTGTTAAGCCCTCTTAGGCGTCTGTGGGTTAGGCTCCCCAGGCAATAGCCTGGCCAATCGGCGACTAGTAGTGGCTGTGTTGTCGCGGATCAGCCAATCGGAAGGAAGGCGGTAGCGGTGAGTGAAAGGAAGGGAACCCTGCATCTGACCCAGTGTCCCTTCAAGGTCTTGGGAACGGCCGGAGAACTGGCCCCCGCGGGCTGCGTCCTCGCCCAGGGCGGGTTCTCCCCCACTAATCCAAGCGTCTGGTTACAGGCTTGGGGGTGGGGAATAGAAAAAAGATATATTTTAAGTTTATCTGTAATATGTGTCTTAGTGTTGGTTTCCTAAGCTTTACCCCCTGAGTTTAGATTCGTGCTAGAGGAACTTTATTGTTAGTCCACACATCGGTTACAACTCCTGATAGCTTTTGTATTTGCTTCTCCAGCTGTGGTCTGTAGCTTAAATAGGAGAGGTAAAATTGGTATACAGAGGGCCACAACCTCCACTTTTTGTGTGTGCTTTACATGATCTTTTTCAACTCTAAAAGTATGTTATTGTATGATTAGCTTCTGCCTTTGATATGAGAACTGCATTTCCCTTTGCACAAGTACATCTTTTAAAAGTTCTTAAAGTTGTATTCTTAAAGTTGTTTCACTCTGAAGGCTAATCCTACATCCCAGTCTTTGCTCCCATTGCATCGAATAATCCTCACTTATTCAGTGGGCAGTTATTCAGTGTTAACTTAATTAAAGACACTGTAAGGACAGGAGAACATCTGTCAAAGGACTGGTATCCATAATAAATAGTCATATATATCTGCAGTGTATAGCCCAACTTTTAAAATCAGTAAAAAAAAAAAAAAAACTTTAATATTGCACAAAGGAAGAGGTCCACATGAGCAATAAGCTTGTGAAAAGATGCTCAGCATTATTACTTGCCAGGAAAATACAAATTAAAACCAAGAAGTACTACTGTACCCACCAACATTATTAAAATGAAAAAGACTGACAGTACCAAGTGATGATGAGAACATGAAGCACCTAAAACTCTCATGTATTGCTAGTAGATGTGTAAAATGGTACCGCCACTTTGGAAAACTTTTGTTGATCTCCAGTACTGGTTAAACATACCTGCCCCACATCCCAGCAGTTCTGCTAATAGGCTTGTACCCCAGAGAAGTAAGTGCATATACCTATAAAAACACTGTATAAAAACATTCATAGTTGCTTTATTCATAATAACCCCAAACCAGAAAATAACTAAATATCCATTAGCAGGATAAACAAATCGTGGTTGATTTGTTAAAATGGAATAGTACACAGCAACAGTAAAGAACTAACTACTGATGTTAAAAATAATACTGTGAGGTATACAATAAGAAATGGTCTGTCTCCTAACAGAGCTACAAAGATTTGTATACAAATTCATAATACAAAGCAGTATGTGCTGATATTATATAATAATTACACATTACCATTAGCAAACTGAGTACTTCTGTGCCAGGCCTATATCAGGGCTGGGACTGCAGTGCCAAAATGACAAGACATGGTACCTCCACAAAGTTTAGAACTTAGCTGTGGATCCATACCTTGAAGAAAGAGTATTTCAATAGACTGACACAAACTGATGGCAATTCACAAAACATGGTGTCACCATTAAGTAGAGAAATTTGGCTGGACTATAGGGTATTCAAAATTTTAGAAGAATAAGTTATAAGTATTCATTAAATGCCTGCTGAATGCCAAGCAGTATATATTTGATATGTTTGGGACGATGCAAAAGTAGAAAGGAGATAGCCATTTAGGAAATCATTTAGCTGCAGAAGACGCAGGGGAAGAAGAAGGGTGGTTGGATTAATTCAGGGTTTGAGATTTGCAGGTGAGGTGAAAATAACCAGTAAGGAAGTTGAGAGTCCTAAGAGGATGTTGAATGGACTATGGGTTCTAGGCTAGATAAGAAAGGAAGTCAAGTCAGGATGGAACCAATGACTAGGGGAAAAGAGAATGATCAAGGAAATGAAGAACTTGATGAAACTGTGGGAAATAATAGAAGAGAGGTACAGGTTGGTTATAGTTGAGATTAGATGTTAGGTTAAGATTTAGGAATGGTACATAGAGGGGAGGATATAGCTTAAGTGCTAGAGCACATGCCTAGCATGCATAAGGTCCTGGGTTCAATCCCCAGTACTGACTCTAAAAATAAATAAGTAAACCTAATTACCTCCACCTCAGTAAAATTAAAAAAAAAATCTAGGGATGTTACAGCTCTGAACATGAACATAAATATTACACAAAAGTACAAATCTTTCTAAATAAAACAACAACAACAACAACAACAACAAAAAAACCCCACAAATGAAAGCAAAGGAAAAGATCATATGACAAGGGAATTTATATTTAAATAATATGACAGAAATATACCAAACCTGTGAGTTATATCTATAAATGTAAATCACCTAACCCTCTTTTAAAAATTATTCTCATATTGGCCAAAAAATGACTAGTCAGTGTTGTGTTATATATAAGAGGCACAGCTAAAACTGTCTAAGAGACTTAGAAAGGTAGAAATAAAAGGGTGGTCAACTGATCTTTGACAAAGGAGCAAAGGCAATACAATGTAAAAAAGATAGTCTTTTCAATAAATGGTGCTGGATTGAAACACTATGCTGTACACCAGAAATTAACAAAACATTGTAAACTGACTATACATCAATAAAAATAAAATAATCTCCAGATTCCAGTAGTTTGACATTTTAACTGTGTATCCTGTAGAAAAACAAAGGATACAGATATTTGCATATTAAGCCAATGAAAAATATTTAAAAAATTTTTAGCATTCAAAAATGATGCTGGAACAATTGGACATCCACTTGCAAAAAATGAATCTAGACACAGACCTTATACTTGTCACAAAAAATTAACTCAAAATAGATCATAGAACTATATGTAAAATGGAGAACTATAAAATTTCCAGCAGGTAACATAGAAGAAAATTTAGATGATCTTGGGGTTGGCAGTGACTTTTTAAATATAACACCAGTGGCACAATCCATGAAAGAAATAATTGATAAACTGGGTGTCATTAAAATTGAAAACATTTGGTCTGCAAAAGACAGTGTCAAGAGAATGAGGAGAGAAGCCACAGAATGGGAGAAAATATTTGCAAAAAACATTCCTAATAAAGGAAAGTCAAGATATACAAAGAACTCTTAAAAGTAAACAATAGGAAAACAGCCTGATTTAAAAAATGAGCAAAAGAGCTGAACAAACACCTCAACAAAGAAGATGTATAGATAACAAAGAAGCACATGAAAAGATGTTCAACATCATAGTCATTAGGGAATTGCAAATTAAGACAAAAGTCAGACATCTCTACATACTTATTAGAATGGCTGAAATACTGACACCACCAAATGCCAACAAAGATGTGGAGCAACAGGAACTCATTCACTGCTGGTGGGAGTGCAAAATGGTATAGCCACTTTGGAGGGCAGTTTAGCAGTTTGTTACAAAACTAAACATACTTTTTACCATGTGGTTGAATAATTGCACTCTTTGGTATTAACCAACTGAGTTGAAAACTGATATCCAAACAAAAACCTGCACATGGATGTTTATAGCAGCTTTATTTATAACTGCCAAAACTTGGAAGCAGCCAAGATGTGTTTTAGTAGGTGAATGAATAAATAAACTATGGTACATCAGGCAATGTAATATTATTCAACACTAAAAAGAAATGAGCTCCAAGCCATGAGAAGACATGGAGGAAGTGTACGTGCATGTTACTAAATGATAGAAGCCAATCTGAAAAGGCTACATACTGTATGGTTCCATCTGTAATGACATTCTAGAAAAAGCAAAACTTCGGAGACAGTGAACAAACCAGTGGTTGCCAGAGACTAGGGGAAAGAAGGGATGAGTAGGCAGAGCACAGAAGATGCTGTAATAGTGGATACATCATTGTACATTTGTCAAAACTGATAGAATGTACAACACCAAGAATGAACTCTAATGTAAAACTTTGATAATGACATGTCAATATAGTTTCATTAATTGTAACATATAGATAATCCTGATAGGAGGAGATGCTAATAGTGAGGAAGTCTGGAGGGGGAGAGGGCGGTAAATGGGGAGGGTGCCCAGTGGGTATATGAGAACTCTGTGCTTTCTGCTCAATTTTGCTGTCAACCTAAAACTGCTCAAAAAAAAAAGTATTAAACAATGGTAAAAGGATAGGTGAAGATATGTCAGACCAATGCAAATATAAAAGGAGTTACAATCTTGTTATCAAATAAGGTAGAATTCAAATCGAAAAGCTCTTAAAAAGACAGAGGACACTTTACAATATTAAAAGCTACATTTCACAGTTAAGATATAATAATTATTAATTTTGTACTGAATTACTCAGCAACTTATTTCATAAAACAAACTATAGGAGATGCAAGGAGAAATAGAAAAAAAAATTCTTAGAGAAGTCAATATACCTTTTGACAATAAGTTAGTAGATGAAAAATTGTTAAGGATTTAGAAGACCTAAAGAACATAATAAGAATGATCTTGCAGATAATCACTAGGTACTTGCACCTTTATAATAATTATCCACTTTTCAAATGCATATGAAACATTTGTGAAAATTAATCACATATTAGGCTCCAAAGAAAACATCAGTACATTAAAAAAAATACAAATAAAACAACATTCACTAAGATGCAATGGAAAAATTTGGTGTGGGGAGGTGTAATCAGGTTTATTCATTTATTTATTTTTAGAAGTGGTACTGGGGATTGAACCCAGGACCCTGGGCATGCTAAGCATGCATTCTACCACTTGAGCTATACCCTCCCTCTTAACATGCAATAAAAATTAATAACAAAAGTAAAAAATAAACTGGCCCTTCTGTCTCTGTATATTTTTTAAAATTCTGTTAATGCTTGGGTTAAAGGGTAAATACAAAATGAAACTGTAAAATGTACCAAAAATAATAATAAAAACACTACAGCTAAAGCAGTAATCAGAGGAAAATTCATATCAAATACCTATCTTAATAAAAGTTAAAATAAATTAATTTAATGTAAGTATCCAACTCTAAATAAATAAATATCCAACTCTATATAAGTGAGAAAAAGAACAAAGAAAACCAAAAGAAAGCAGAAGGGACATCTGACAAAAGCCTATAACCCATTCTTGTTAAAAAACAGTCAAATAGGAATTGATAGAAAATTCTTTGACATGACTCCCTTAGTAAAACCGAGAACAATATAAGGATGCCCAATATTTCCATTATTGTTTAACATGGTATTGGAAGTGTTAGCAAATGCAGCTATGGAAATTGAGCGTATGATAAAAGGTAGCATCTTAAATTAGAGGAAATGAACTTTTTAATAAGTACAACTGGATAGCCTTTTGGAAAAAGATTAAATAAGACCCACTGCTCACATCTTATACAAGGGTAAATTTCAAATGGATCTAATATCTTACTGGAAAAAATAAAACCAAAATTGCAAAGAACTTTATACATGTACAAATGAGTGCATATAAAACTGATCAAATCTAAATGCTTTGTGTAGACTGTACTATTGTTAGTTTCCTGGTTTTGTTACTGTATTATAGTTATGCAAGATGGTACCATAGTGGGAAACTGAATGAAGGGCACACAGACCTCCCTGTAGGTTTTTTGCAAGGTCCTGTGAATCCATGATTATTTCAAAATAAAAAGTTAAAAGAAATGAAACCATACAACTACCAAATGAAAACATAAATTTCTCTATAACCTGAGAGTGGGGAAAACTTTTCACAACTATGACATAGGAGCAATAAGGGGGAAGCTTGATAATTTGGACTGCACTAAAAAGGAAAAAAAAAACTTACTCATCAAAAAATAATATATCCAAATTTTTTAAATGGATAAAAAAATGCAGCAGACAAAGGGTTAATAGCCATTATATACAAAAACTTGTAAGCACAGAAAAATGAGTAAGAGTTGTAAACATATTATTCACAGGTAAAGAAATAAAAATGTCTCTTAACCATATGAAAAGATAGGCAGTGTTACTTATAATAAGAGAAAGGAAAATTAAACTACGTAGAGGTAACATATTTCATCAATTTGATTTTATTTAAAATGTACAGGTTGGATCACATGTGTTTGGGAAGGCCGTGGAGGACTAGGCTTGGTTGCTAGAGGAATACAAAATAGTATAACCCCTATGAAGGGAAAATCTGGCAATACCCCTCAAAATTATGTTTTTCTTTTTTGACCTAGCGCTATTTTTTCTGGAGATCTCTCAGAGATACACTGGCAAAGATAAGAATAGTACAAGGATATTGACTCTGTATTATTTTAATAGAAGAAAGACTGGAAACAAATTAACAACCCAAATTAACAGGGGCTGATTGAATAAACTTGGCATTTATCATGAATTCCCTCACATTCCAATCTTTTTTTTTTTTCCCTCAGATTCCAGTCTTAACACTGCAGCATTTTTCCTTGCCTTCCCCCATCCCACATTTGTACGTTCTTTCTCACAGGGAAATCCCTGGCTCCACCAATCATCAATGCATGTATGTAATCATCTGCTCAGTCCTACAGTATATACAAAATGATTTCAGAATAGCTGTATCTATAAAACCAGCCTACTAAGTAAAAAGTTCAAGATTTCTTTGTATTTCACTTTTTATTTTTTTGCCTTTAGACTGAAAGTATATAGTCCAAGCACTATGAATGTTATTTGGATTAGCTCCTTTTTTCTCCTTAGTTATAAGCCACTCAGCTGGTGGACTGCTACTCACTTTCTTTATATTTATATTTAGAATTTTAAAAAGACAGTTTTGGGACAGGAACATTTGAGCATAAGCTAAGTATTAAATATATTCAAGAATTATTTTTATCTTGTTAAGTGTGAAAAATTACTTTGATTATGGCTTAACAGAAATCCTTTTCTGTTAGTGATATATGTAGATGGTATTAATAGGTGAGATGAGATGATTGGATTTGCCTAATGGAGCGGTTGATCAAGTAAGATTGATTATATTACTGTTGAAGTTGTGTAATGTGTTTATCAGGGTTTATTTTAGTACTCTCTTCTTTTATGTATTTTTAAAATTTTCTGTTAAAAAAGGGGGGACACCAAACTGTGGGAATGTATATGGGCACATTACACAATATTTTGAAGGGTACAAAAGCAATGTTGAAATGAGTTCTTTCTCTCTGGTGTATGTACATTTGTCTAAGTGTATGTATATATACTTACATGCCTATATAGTTAGTCCTAACTCAGAAAAGGTCATTCACTTATTTGGCAGATGTTTACTGAGCATTTACTATGTACTAGGCACTGCTACAGAAGTGCTTAATTCTCCAACTCTGCCTTTCTAGAAGCTTTGCCCTCCTGTAATCATTGGCTCATTTATCTGTTCTCTTACACAGTATTCTTAAGGTGTTAAGGATGCTGTGGAAACACAGGAGGAGTTTTAAAATCAGAGTTAGGAATCGGGAGCTTCTTAGAGAGGACCGACATTTTAGCTGTTTTAAAAGATAAGCAATCAGGTGAAAGCAGAGACATGGAAATGGGGTAGGACTCAGGAGAGGTCCCCTGGCAGAGTGCACAAGCTGTAGATTAAATGTAGATGGAACTGGCAGGATGAGATAGGAAAATGAGAAGTACTTCAGAATAGCTGGAGTAAATGGTACAGTGGTGGGGAATGAGGCTTGAGAGGTCCGGAGAGCCCAGATCATCATGTTCCTCTTGAGTGCCAAATGCGAGCTGGAAGCTGAACATCTGAAAAACTTAGGACTGTAGGATGGATAGAACACTCTTTCAGAAAGTTTGGCTGTGGAACCAGTTACTAGAGGGAGAGAGAAGTTTTGTTTTTTAACGTGAAAGACTTGGCCATGCTTTTCTGTTTAGGGAGACAACTATCTTCCAGCATTTTCTCACAGCAGCAGAATCATAGTGGTTAGTTTTCAGGCCAGTCCTCACAAGCCTGTGTACTTCTGTACTCATGTAAAATGTATAATATGTAGTACAGATATACAGATATATTGCAGATAAACACAAGCTTCAATCTCACTAGACACAGCCACTTACAGATTACTTTCGTTGAAAATAGTGCTCTGTTTATTGGTCTCAACATTGTACATTCGAAAGATTTCCTACTGAAAGTTCCACTTAAGATCCTCTATAGCATAAATCTGGAATTTTAGAGATAAAACATTAATACTCCTCAAATACCTGTTCTTAAAAGCAGTATTCTAAAATCATGTATTTCCATAGGTATAGGAAAGAGACTAAAGGGCTATCAGATTTTTAAATCTAAAACATCTGGGGGTTTGGGGCTTACAGATAGTCTTTTCTTCTTTGTGCTTTTTGGTTTTTTCCCAGATTTTTTACAGAGAACATGTGTCATTTTCTGTCAGAAAAAGTATTTTTTTCATTACCTAATTTTCAGTACACTTTTTAACCTATTCTAAACTGCCAGGTATTAACATAGTAGTGAAACAACACTCAGTACAAGTCAGGAAACTTCCAATTCTTATCAATCAGCAGGGCAATTAAGAAGTTTTGCAACATAAAGTCCATGTCATATTCATAACAGATTTTTTTGTTTGTTTTTGTTTTTGTTTTTTAATTGAAGTATAGTCAGTTGACAATGTGTCAGTTTCTGGTGTACAGCATAATGTTTCAGTCATATATATGCATACATATATTCATTTTCATATTCTTTTCCATTATAGTTACTATAAGATATTGAATATACTTCCCTGTGCTATACAGAAGAAACTTGTTATTTATCTATTTTGTATATACTAGTTAATATTTGTAAACCTCTAACTCCCAATTTATCCCCACTCCCTTTCCCCCAGGTAATCATAAGATTGTATACTACGTCTAAAATTCTGTTTCTGTTTTGTACATAAGTTCATTAGTGTCTTCTTTTTTCTTTTTTTTAGATTACACATATGAATAATATCATGGTATTTTTTCTTTCTCCTTCTGGCTTACTTCACTTAGAATGATAATCTTCAACAGGTCCATCCATGTTGATGCAAATGGCATTATTTCATTCTTTTTTATGGCTGAGTAATAGTCCACTGTATAAATATACCACAACTTCTTTATCCAGTCATCTATCAATGGACATTTAGTTTGTTTCCATGTCTTGGCTGTTGTATATAGTGCTATTGTGAACATTGGGGTGCATGTATCTTTTCAAATTAGAGTTCCCTCTGGATATATGCCCAGGAGTAGGATTGCTGGATTATATGTTAAGTCTGTTTTTAGTTTTTTGAGGAATCTCCATACTGTTTTCCATAATGGCTGCACCAAACTGTATTTCCACCAACAGTGCAGAAATGTTCCCTCATAGGGTTGTTTGGAGGTCAGTTGGCAGTACAGTAAAATGTCTTGTGATGTATAGGTATGAAGTTATTACGAATAGCAAATAAGATAAATAGGGCAGTTCATAGACTAACTTTCCTGGTTGGGAATAGTAAAATAGTAAAACTTTAAGTTGTTGTCAAGTACGAAGTTATTTTAACAAAGGTGTCTGCTTGTGAACTTCAGTAGATTTTTTTATTTATTTTATTTATTTCTTATGTAATTAGTGAGGTGATTTTAGAGCTTCATTTCTTTTTCATGCATTTTATTTTTCCTTTAGGTAGTCAAGCCACATACTCCATTAATAAGGTTCCCTGACAGAAGGGACAATCCTAAACCCAATGGTAAGTTATACTTTATTTAGATTAGAAAAAAAATGTGCATATAGATTTATACATGAATATATTATAGACAATATTTCTCATTTTAAAATCAGGTAGACTGTTGTAGCTTAGATCAAAATGAAACTTTAGGTTGCATGCAAGTAGAAACTAACTTTTTACTACCTCCATTTAAAAAGGAAATAACTCAGGGAAGGGTATAGCTCAGTGGTAGAGCATGTGCTTAGCATGCACCAGGTCCTGGGTTCAGTCTCCAGTACCTCCATTAAAATAAATGAATAAATAAACCTCATTAACTCCCCTTACACACACACAAAACACAAAATAAAAAGGAAGAAACTCAACAGTAGATATTTCTGAATTTTTAATGATACTGAGTTTATATAGGGGAATTTTTATTCTACTTTTCTTCTATCTGCTGGAAGAATTTTGCATGCTCACATTTGCAGAGATTATGAGGAATAATAACCATTCCTCTATTTCTCTCCCAGTTAACCTTTTCTTTTATTTACTCGTTTATCTATTCATTCATTTCTCAGATTGCCTTAGACATTAGCAATCATTGCTTATAAAGTAGTCGAAGACTGAACAAGTTTTGTTTTTCTCTGAGCTTTCCTTTTTAGCAGATCCTCTGTCACTATCTTTATTATGAAATACTTGACCTTTAATTCAGGGAGAATTTTGACAAATTTTATGTGGATATTTTTAACTTATAGCTCTTGAAGAATTAAGATAGAGGTGACAAACAAGTATAAAGGCAATGAGAAAATGAATCTCATCTACATTTACCAACTTTCGTATTTTCCATTGTAAGATATCACCATAAACTCTACCAAATAACACAATTTAAGTAATGTAGGTTATCTGTATGGATTGAACTCCACTACCTAGCAATTTCATTATTTTAGAAACCTGTTCTTCAATTTAGTAATTCACTCACTTAAAACTACCTCATTTGTTTTAGAAAGAACTTTATGAAGTTATATATAGCTTCCCAGCTAAGTTATTCTATAGTACTTATCTCTTGGAATTATAATACTGATCATTTTAAGAATAACTTGATTATTCAATAATAGGTAACTCAACATAGTATTTTAAGACACTGAACAATTCCTTTAATAACTTTTTTTAAATTTTTCATTTCAGTATCAGAAGTTTTAAGATCAGCAGGACTACCATCTCATTCTGCAATTTCACAGCATTCTAAGGGAAGTAAGTCACCAGACTGGCTGATGAATCAGGGCCCACCAGACAGTGCAGAGATGATAAAAACATTACCTCAGAAGTACAGAAGGAAACTTGTGTCTCAAGAAGAAATGGAATTTATCCAAGTATGTTGTTGCTCTTTATCACAATGCTGTGGAAAACACCTTAACATTATTGGCTTTTGAGCTTCACATGCTGATTTAACATGTTCTTCCCACTGTCTTATCAAAATGTGTCCAAAGCTAAGACAGAGACGGTCAGGTGGATAGGATAGGACTATGAGAAATAAACCATGTTTGAACCCTAAATAAATGTACATGAAGGTATATATCTGTAGATGTATACTATGGTAATAAACAGCAAAATATATATACCCCATGGGAAAAAAGCTCTTTAGAGTCCTCAATAATTTGTTTGAGTGTAAAGGACTTCTAAGACCAAGAAATTTGAGGACCATTGATCTAGGTCAACCTTGAATCCCTTTCAGATCTGAAATTCTTTATAAAATGACATGAGTGCCCCAAAGCTATGAAAAATCTAAAATTGTTTTTAAAAACTACCAATCATTTTGCTGAAACTGTTGTAAATTTGTATAGTGGCCATGAAGACGTTTCTTTAGAAATGTAACACCTAATCTTACTGTTTATTTTTCCCTTTTCAGCGTGGAGGTCCAGAATAATCACCGAGACTGTGGCTGCTGTTTGTCATCAGACAACAGAATAGTCTTTACAATAAAGGACTTCCAAAATGACAAATGAGAAATTATAAATTAAACAACTTTAATAAATATCGTGTAAAAAAAAAAAAGAAGTATAGAAGATTTAGATGGACTCTTGTATCTCCTAATTTATGTATCTTGGTCAGCTTCTGCACAAGCTTGCCTGATTGTTTATATACTTTATACTTATTAAAGTATACATTTTAAAATGTTATTAATTTACTCTTGATTATCAAGTATTACCAGTGTTGAACTATTAAAAGCACACGATGTCTAGTGAACTATCATAGGTTTCCTATAACCTCTACTTTTCTTCAGGTTTCTATTCAGACATGGAAGGAGTATATCAGGCAGAATTGCTGCTTTCTGGAAGTGATTTTCCTGAAATTGGATGAGGATCAGTGAAATAATGACTCCATTATTTGTTCTTAATCCTCTTAACATACATCCATTCACAAAGTTACTGGAGTATAACTGGCTTAATAAGCATATCCTGCTCTAAATGATAAAAGTATAGCCATGGTAAAATGGGTGACTGTGGTATTAAGACTAGGGGGTTAACACAACCTCCCTACGTTGAGTTTATTGTTCACAAAAAAGTGTCAGAATATAAAGTGGAAAATAAGAGATCAAAATGAATACAGCATAGGAATAACGTTTGACCAGAAATGGCAATTTATTATGTTTTTAGGGATGCTAAGAAAGTCATGTTCTTTGGTTTATTTTACTGTTTTGTGATTGTGTATACACATCCTGATAATCATAAACTTTCTCAAACTTATTGTCTAAAAGCCTCATAAAATCAACCTAACCATTTACCTTCTTAAGGCAGTTAATGAACTTTTAATAGGGTCTTCCTGTGCCAAGGGTATGTATTATTGTGAAAGTAAAGCCTCACAAAGTGAAATGAATTCTCTTCCATACCTTTAATGATTTCTAGAATATGCCTTAAGGAAATCATCCCTAATAGTAAGGTTAACTCATGAGCAATAGAGAAGAATTGTTGAGTACATTTTTATATATACAGTACAGTTTCCAGTGGGCTAATCTTTATACTTTTTTTTTTAAACTATTCAGAGTTGATCTGCTTTTCATGTAAATTGTGTATTGTGGCCTACTATAGATGTTGCCCCAACTCAAATGTGAGATAGGAGTTTGGTGCTAGCAATAAGCTGTTTTGGTGACTCATGAGAAATACAGGACTTGTGATTTCTTTTTTATTATTTAAAAATATCTGGAAAATTTTCTTACAAGCTAGTACTATTCTCTTTTTTATCTTTAGCTTTCTCATTTCAGTAAAAGGAAGCCCAAGGCCAGGTTTTTGCTTTCAGAAACAGGAGGTTCAGGTAATGAAGAGTGGCTTGAGTAATACTGCAGGCCAGCAGTTAGAAACCCCAATACTGGAACTGTCTGAGGGACACCTTTACTACAGCTGCTGCCATGAAAGTATTACAGTGAAAATATATATCACTTGTATGGAATTTGTGAGGTATAAGTATGGCAGAAGGATGTTAGTGGGAATTGCTATCCTTGGATGAGTTCCTAAGGAAGATGGTGTCATGGAATTTGGGCTTGGCTTAGAGTAAATAGCTTGTATTTTTATTTAGGGATTAAACAGGTACGTCTGTAACTGTCAGCAAATTGCTGAGTTTGTCCAAGTTGCAGTTTTCTTTCCAGTGCTATGCAGTGTGGTAGGCAGGATCAAATTAGTGTATTGTCTATTACTTTGTAACAAATCACCGCAAAACTTAGTGGCTAAAAACAACCATAATCACTTAATAGCTCATGTTTTCTCTGGGCCAGGAATTCTGGAGCAGCTCAGCTGGGCACTTGTGCTCAGTGTTTCTCATGAGGCTGCAATCGGATGCCACTTCAGGTTGCAGTTATCTGAAGGCTTCCCTGGGGCTGGACAATCCACCAGGTTGATGCTGGCTGTAGGACAGAGGCCTCAGTTCCCCTCCACATAGGCCTCTCCAGTGGGCTGCCTGAGTGAATTCATAGCATAATGGCTGACTTCCCTCAGAGCAAATGGTCCCAGCATACAAGCAGCAGCAGCAATGTCTCTTTACGATCTAGACTCGGAAGTTACACACATTCACTTCTGCTGTATTCTACTGGTCACGCCGAATAGGCTTTCTCATTGGGTGAGAAAACTATACAAGTACATTAATACCAGAAGGCAAGAATCACTGGGGCCATCTTGGAAGCTGCCTACTCATTACTGATGTGGGAAAGTGCTCTGTAAGTTGTAAAATGCTATACAGGTGCTGAATGGTATTTTATATATACAATGACCTAATAAACCCCGAATATCACTCAAACATTGCTTTTGTTACCCTATTTAAAGTGTTCTAAAATAGGAATTTACTTGTCAGCAACATGGTATAATGTGATTATCACTTCATATACCATGGCACACTTCAGAACTTGAAGCCTCACAGGTTTACTATCAAATTTAGAGCGCTATTTAGCTTATTGCCACTACAAGTGAGGCTAGATTATTGTTACAGTGATGTCTTTTAGAAGGAACGTTCACCTATGTCATGTGACATTGTATCATTAGGTATGACTTGCCACAATTAAGAGGTGTAAGTGGTATGTAGATGGTGTGTTTAATGCAGTGTATGAGAATTTTGCTCAATGAAGGCATCAGAATTCAATAAAGACCCAAGTAGTGACAGCTGGAAGGTGACCAATAATAGTGCTTTATGTGATAGCTAACATAAACTGAACACTGTCAGACACTATCCTAAGGGGTTTTGAAGTGTGAAGTCATTTAAGCCTTGCAGCAATCCAGTGAGTAGGCCTTATTACAGAGGAGGAAACTAGGAACAGAAAGATTAAATAATACTCTCAAATCATAAGTCTATGAGTGAATACTTATGGGACCAGTATTCATAGGCAGGTATTCTAGATCCAGAGTTAGGACTCAACATTTACACTGTATTACCTTGGCTAACTTATGAGCTCTTGTATTCTGCTGCCTTCTTTAACATAACTGAAAATCAGGATTCTCAGCTTTTAGGAACATCAAATGCTCCAGCTCAAAACCTTAGAGAATTCTCTTTCCCCCACCCCAACCCATATCCAGTCTGTCAGCAAATTGTATTGACTAGAAGCCAAACTGATACTACCTAATACATTTGGATTGCTGCAATAATTCTTAAACTGGCCTTCTTGATTTTCCTTGCCATGTAAGTCTATAGTGTAGCCTCTCACAACAGCCAGAGGGAACCTTTTTAAAACATTAAGTCAGATCGTATCACTTGTCTGCTCAAAACTCTGCAGTGGCTTTTCAGTAATTTCCTTATAGTACCACCCTATTTAAAACCACAAACCCTACTGTCTCCCCTTTCTCTGCTTTATTATCTCTGTAGCAATTATCACTATGTATCATAGCATATGTTACTTGTTTATTGCCTCCCATTGGAAGGTAGGGATCTTTGTTTTTTTCCCTGCTGATTGATTTATCAGTCTTGACAGAGCCTGGTACATGGTAAACACCCAATATATATTCGTTAAATAAATGATTTAATGTGTTTAATTTGTTTTGTGTGAAATCTGTCTAAAATTTGTGCAAGTTTCATTTACTCCTCGCAACCACCTATGATGTGGTCTGTCTGCCACTTTTCAGAGTAGAAAACTGATGGCAAGCTATCTGTTCCACAGCACAGAATTGTCTACTTGACTTGGAACTTGTTTCCCTGGGCGTGTTTCTTCATAAAGTACTAAGAATGCCTCTTGACCAGACGTTAATAACTGGGCACTCGTTTAAGTGACCTGAACTTGTCGGATTAGGCGTCCAAAGTAACCCTGGTGACAGGACGCCCTGAACAACAACCAGAAAGCGAGATGACAGACAAGGCGAAGCTTTCCACACTAATACACACCCATTAAACACCGAACTGAGAACATCGCTTCAGAACGACGACCCGTCCTTGGCGATGAAGAAAATATGAAAGTTAAAAAAGTAACACAAGGTGACACAGCCACCACTGAGAAAACCCCGCTTCCGGTATCAGCCAGAGGTCACGTGATAGGGCGGGGCGCGGCGCCAACCAGCCCGCGAGCCCTGCCTTGCGCAGCTTCCCTGGGGCGGGCTCTGGCCCGACAGACGTAACAGCGTCCCCGCCTATCCCGGAAGTGGGGCGGAGCTTCTGAAGCGTCGGCCCTCAGTGGACGGAAGTAGCTGTTGGAGGCTTTAAGGTAGCTTTAAATTCCTGCTTCCTTGGGAGGTCGCCCCTTTCAGCTGGAGTCGGGCTCCGCGCGACGGATGGCTGTGGACGTGAAGTCGCGAGCAAAGCGTTATGAAAAACTGGACTTCCTCGGGGAGGGACAGGTGAGGCTCGGGTTGGGGCTTGGAGGGCCCTGAGCTGGGGGCGCCGGGCCGCCTCACACTCTCAGGTTTTCTCGTGGAACCAGTGGACGACGGGCCACGCTACTCGTTCTCTTTGGGCGAGGCTGCCCAGACGCCTCTGCTGCCCTGCCCTTCTATAGGACAGAGGCCTGAGCGGCCCTGTCCGAAGAATAGTCTGGAACGGGACGTGGACGGCCCCACCACGTTTGAAGCCGCCGCAAGTTTGCTCCAAGAACCCTGGGTTCCTTGTTTCCTCAAATCTAAAAAAAAGCAAGACAAACACAATACAAAAACTTCTCACAAACTTGTTATTTCTGTTTTTCTCTCTAGTTTGCCACGGTTTACAAGGCCAGAGACAAGAACACCAATCAAATTGTCGCTATTAAGAAAGTGAGTTACAGTTTGTTTTTTCTTGAGTCTCCTTGAAGATGTCTGTACGTGTGAGCTTAATGGCTGGCGGTTTTACTAGTCTTGACCGTGCTCTGCTTGTGAGGAATTACTTATGTCATTTTCAAAGAAAATAGAATTTATTATTAGTGTCTCGTGTTCTAAGATGGAACTCGGGTTGAGCTAGTGTTTTGTGCCATTCATTGAAATGAAGAGGAAGCTGTATCAACGCAGACCTTGGCGAAGAGGACCAGTACTGCTCATTTGTCGGGTCCTCAGAACTACTTAATATCATGATCTTTCCAGGGCTCTACTTCTGCCTCACCTGCATCCACTCTCTGTATATCTGTGTTTTCTGAGTACAGATTTATTATGAAAGGCTTTTGCCAGCGTTAATGACAATGATTTGGTGCGTTTTAAAAAAATGATTTAGGTAGCTTTTCTACTTGCATTCATTCAAGAAACTTCGGTCATATTTAGGTAACTTTATTTATGCCAGGCACTTTCACCTACATTTTTTCGTTTAACCGTCATAAAAGCCTTGTGAAGTAGGTAAAGGATCCCTGTTTACACTTGAGATGCCTGAGGCTAAGAGAGGTTAGATGACTTGTCAAGATGACATAGTAATTGGTAGAGCCAGGATTTAGATCCAGGTGTCCTGCTGCCAGGTTGATTGCCCTTTCCCACACTACTGAAATCAATAACGTTTCCAGGAGAGGCTGTTCTCACCTTTCGAGTCCTGTTGGTGGCATAGGTGACCTCCACCTTCCTATTGTTCGTGGTGCTGCTTTGAATCTGTTTCTCCTTCAAAATCCCTAACTCTTTTGAAGCATATCCCCCTCATTTACTTAACACCCTCTCTTCCTCACAATTATTCCTGCTGTTTTTATCTTTTTTTTACTTTCTCTTGCTTCTCTCATACCATTTTCCACTTTATGTTCTGTAATCCAAGGCCATAGGTAACTCCCTTAACTGTTCTAATCCTTTCTAAAGTTATCTTTTTGATTCTTCTACTGGTTCACTTTATTCTAGCCACACTGACCTTTCTGTCCCTTGAATACATTAAATTCATTCCATTCCCAAGATCACTGCATTTGCTTTGCCTTCTGCATATATTTTTACTCTAAAACTTGGTATGGCTGATTATTTATCATTTAGATCTCATTCAGATGTCTCCTGCACATTGAGGCTTTTGCTGGTCATGCTAAAACAGGTATGCCTCTCTCCTTCCCTAGCATTCTTTGTTGTTTTTCTCTATTATCCTCATAGCATATATCAAAATGTAAAATCCTCTTATCTATGAGTTTATTTTCTGTTCACTACCACTCAAATTGTATTTAGGACTGTGGCTTGTACATTTGGAAACACTCATTAAAAATGTATTGACTAATACTATCTCTTCAAACTGTTGGTGTATAGAGTTCTGTAGTCTTCTAAAAATCCTAATAGATTTACTTGCTTTTATTGTAAACTGGGATTTAGAATCCATCCTATTTGTCTGTGATAGACTTTTACTCTTTGAAAGGGACTCATAGTGGAATATTCTTTTACATTTCATTTTTATTTCAAATAGTACATCTTTGTGGTTTTATGGAATATAACCTTTGAAAATTGTGAATTGCTGTCTGGTACACCTGAAACTTACATGTTCTACATCAATTCTACCTCAAAAAAACCCAGAAATAGTTCTTCTACCAAACTAATTAAATTATTTCTCAAAATAGTTTTTTTTTTTAAAGTCAATTAATAGGCCAACCATTCATGTCTCCTCACTCCTAGTTGTCATCCTTGGAGCAGTCCTGCAATCATTTTCAACTCTAAAACTATTTTCTCTGGTATTTACCTCCATTTCTTAAGATAATATGCTTATGTCATTTTTTTCTTGCGTGGTCTCCCTCCCCAGATTTAGACATTATCTATACTTCCTACTGTAAACATTGAGGATTTGGTACTTGTGCAACTTCACCTCCCAACACTTAACTTCTACTCCCACTTATTTACTGACATGTTTAATTTTACAAAGAAGGAATAATAAGCTATGTGTTCTGTATTCTTTCTTTTTGTGTGTGTGTGTTCTGTATTCTTTCACCTGTTGTATCTTGGACTTTTAAAATACCTATCTTTTAAAGGATCTATCTTATCCTTTTAAGAAGATTGTATTGAATTTATGTTTCCCAGTTTATTTAACCCATCCCCTATTGGTGTCCTTTTGAAGCATTTCTCATTTTTCAGTATTTGTTTTATGTATCTCAACAGTGTATAGTATTGTATACTTTTAAACTCTTTATATAAACACATATATATGTGTGTGTGTGTGTATATGATATTCTGCAACTTGTTTTTCTAAATCAGTTATTTCTGAAATCTTCCACATTGACACATGTAGATCTGGTTTATTTATGTTCATTGATGATTAGATTCTGTTATGTGACCACACTAAAGTTAGTCTGTCCAAACTCTGGCTGATAAACATTTATGCTGTTTTTTTTTTTAATATTTTCTTCTAATACAGCCCTATACATTTATGAGTTTCTCGAGAGAATGTGTCTATAGTTGAAACCAGTTATAAATTGTTGCTGCATAGAGAATACACAACATCAGCATTACCAGATATTGTCAAATTGCTTGCTAAAAATGGTTGGATCATTTTAACTGCCACCACACTCTCACCATCTTTGTATTGTCAGACTTTGCAACATTTGTCAGTTAGATGGATCAAAAATGGTATATATATTTTTTCAAGTAATATTTTTCTATGAGATTGGTCATCTTTTCTTAGATTTATTAGACTTTCTCCTACGTGTTTTTCTGTTAGGTTGTTTGTATTTTTTTCTTTCCTATTGACTTTGTGAAATTCTTTAAATATTCTAGATATTGATCCTTGTCAGAAATAGGCTTGGCAGATATCGTTGTTGATGGAAATAATAACTAATCTGTATTAAGAATAGAAGAGAGTGTTATTTGAGCCAAACTGAGAATTGTAGCCTGGGAGACAGTCGTTCAGGTGGCTCTGAGGAACTGTTTGGAAGAAGTATGGTTTTCAGCATAGCTTTATATCTTGTCAGATGAAAGGTCATCAGGCATGAGGGGGGAACATTCCTTCAAAGTTTCAAAAAAGAAGAAGACAGATAAGCAACAGAGAGATCATCATGAACACAGTGAGTCAGCATGGCCTTGGTTCCCAGGAAGGGAGCCTTATCATCAAAGGATTACTACTATTGAGGTCCCAGGAAGGGAGACGTTTATCGCTCTTAGTTAGGTATGAGAATGGCATTATGGTTATGTAAGAAAATGTCCATGTTTTAGAGATGCTTACTTAAGTATATAGGGGTGAAATGTCATGAAGTCTGGAATTAAAAAAAAAAATCAGCCAGCAAAAAGGAGAGGGTGAATGAACGAAATAAGTGTGGCAAAATATTGGTAATTGTTGAATCTGGGTGATGAAGTAGATGGCTTCATGAAATTAGTCTATATTATGTTTAGAAAATGTTGTAACGTTTTAAATTATGTGTTCTTAGCTCCTTACTATTCTGTGTAGAGTTTAGAATTTGTTTGTCAATGTCCGTGAAAAGTGCTATTGTACTTTTACATTTAGTTGCATTAAATTCAAAGAGAATTGGCATATTTGACATATTTATGATAGAGTCTTCCTAACTATGAACATGCTATCTGTGTTTATTTTCATTGCATTTTTAACCATGTTTTAAGTGTTCTTCTTGGATAGCTTTATACATCTCTTGTTGGCTTTATTCCTAAGTGCCTTATATTTTTTGGTGCTATAATAAATAGCTTATCTTTAAATAAAACGTTGTGTTTGTAGTATATTGGTGAAGAATATTGTTAAGGTAGAATAGCTGTGTTTTTCTGGAGTAGGAGTTTTTGGGTTTGGGTGGGTTTTTTTTTTTTTTTTGTATTCTTGATTACATTTAGTCATTGAATAAAGTAGTAAGAGAATGTTCTCTAACCTAGTAGTCTGTTTTGTGTAAGACTGAACCTATTAATGCAATTTTATATTCTTATTCACAGTAACAACAGTTTAAAACTATTTATATCCATCACAATTTGTAATTTTTCTTTTTGAAAAATGTGATCTGTGGGAGCATATTATTGGGCATATTGAGCATATTATTTAATATGTTTCATATTTCCTCCCAAACAGGCTAACTTGAAGTGCTCTTTTTTTTTTGAAGTGCTTTTTTTGTGTATTAGTCACTATGCCTTTAATTCTTTGTTCCACATTTAATCTTACAGAGATAAAAGGAGATGTTTATTTTCTTAATTCCATTATTGGAATGTGTAATTCAAAACTTAAGAGCCAGGGAATGATAGGTACTTGATACTTTCTTATACTTTTAATTTCGTGCTTTCTAATTCATTATTCCCACTCCCTTCTTGCCTGCTAATACTAGCTACATGTGAGTTGCTACATGTTTTTGCTATGACAGAGTTTTTAAAGTGTTTATGTATTATGTATTAAGTCTAAATAATTTAATACTTTTTTAATGTGTTTCTTTGTTTTTTCCTCAACCAGATCAAACTTGGACATAGATCAGAAGCTAAAGATGGTAAGTATTTCATGTAATCTGACAGAATGGGATAGGCTTTTATTCCCACTGAGCAAAAGAACAAAGTATTAATTTAAGTTAACAGTGGTTTTGAATACAGTTATTGGTCCCAGAAGAGTAAAGATAGCCTCAGGATAGAGAGGATATTTGTGATTTCCATCATTTGGGTATTCAGAGAAACATTTGAGACACCTAAGTAGATTGAAGACAGCACAGTTCTTAGTGACTTGCCTTGATACCTTCATTACTGTTTGAGGTGTTATAATAAGCCATTGTTTATTCTTTTTCTGAGCTTCTGATTACTTTGAAAATTCAGGATGCACAGAAGAACACAAAGCTTACCATGGAATAGATATATTGAGGGGAAAGATTCCTTTATCCCTCCTTCCAAAGCCTTGTTTGCTAGAGTGCTAAGTCCTATTTAGTCATCAAGAAATAGTTCCTATAAAAAGGACCCATCATCTCTGTAACAACTAGTACTAGATCTTATTTTAAATTTTGGGTTCTATCCTTCCCATTGGGAAAGGTGCTATCTAATCACTAGTTTGCTGTTAGCATAAATACCGTGCCACTAATATTCATAGGGCAAGAAAAGGGAAGCTATTGACTTAACAGCTGTGTGCTACCCACTTATTCATATTACTCCAGCAATTTTCAGATCTGATATCTTACAGATAAAGTGAATACTTTCTTCACCATTTATCATAGTCTGTGTTAAGCTACTTTAAAAATAAAGCAGTATAAAATGGAAACAGGTGTTTTTAACATGAGAATTGTTAAACTAGCCCTTATTTTTCTGAAGAATATTCATTGCTCTTTCCTCAGGGATTGACCTTTCCCAAAACATAACGTTTGTAAGAACGTTTGAGATTTCAGAATTATTTCTCATTGTTTCTTTGCCTTTTTATGTAGGTATAAATAGAACAGCCTTAAGAGAAATAAAGTTATTACAGGAGCTAAGTCATCCAAATATAATTGGGGTAAGTATAACCTAAGTTGTTTCTGGGATTTGAGACCCTGCCTTTTCTGAATATGGTAGATGTTGACTGAAGACTCAGCAAGATGAGATTTTTTAGCTAAGTTTCAAAAAGGCTGAAACATATTTTCTATCCTAATAGTTCCTGTAGGCAGTGACTTTAAAACTATACAGTTGATGAAATAAACTAAATATTGGCATACAGGCTAATTTTGTCAGAAATCACTTTGAAGCCAAGAGAGAGCTCTAGCATGTGTAACACCTTAAGCAAGTTCCCTTGAACTCTGTGCCATAGTCCTTACCTCATAGGGTTGTTGTGAGACTAGCTCACTGAATACATGTGAAGTACCTGGGATAGTGCCTGGCATAGAGAACACATTCATTCAGTGACTGATAGCTGCCAATACTATTTGTAAGATTTTCTTAAGTACTAAGGTTGGGAATTTTTCTTACTTAGGTGAGATATTCTTTAATTCATTTCTTAATTGTAACTCCCAAAATGTGGGGGAGAGCTTATTTAGTGATTTTTTTTTTATAGGGAAGTTTAATAATTTGTGTTTAAAAGTATAAATTCCTAGCCAAAAAAGGATAAATATTAAATTATTTCAGCTTTATGGGAAATTTTCCACAGTCCAAATGCTTATTTGAATTTTTAAAAATTACTTCAATTGTATGACACTGTCAAGTATTTAATAGAGAATCACATTTTGATTTTTTTTTTTATTTTGCTTTGCAGCTCCTTGATGCTTTTGGACATAAATCTAACATTAGCCTTGTCTTTGATTTTATGGAAACTGATCTAGAGGTAAGATTAAGATTCCTGTAGGAATTTTTTTCTGTTTATCAAAAGAGAATCTGAATGAATGTTTATTTTCTACCTTTGAAGACAGTGGTAGTCAAAGAATGTTTAATTTTATTGAAATACAGGATGTACTTTTAATTCTAGGCCCTTCTGAATTATGTAGCCATATTCCCAGTGTTAAATACAAAGAGTTGGATTTCAATAACATTTCTGCCTACCAAATTCCCTAAACCTTATTGGCATTATTTTTAGAAAAATGAGTGTTTGGTTTTTGGGAACTTGGAACTTCTTTGTGATATTATCACAGAGTATCATCCTTTTGAAAGCCAAGTTCCTATTTGAGAAAAAATAGATCTTATGCTTTTCATTAATATTAATTGAATCTCAAAAACTGACAATCCAAGGATGTGGAACATCTGGAATTCTCATACACTGCTGATGAGAGTGCAAAATGATACAGCCACTTTGGAAAACGGTTTGGCAGTTTCTTATTCCTATACAGTTAAACATACACTTAAAGATTTGATCTAGCAAATACCACTGCTAGGTATTTATCCAAGAGAAACATGTCAACACAGATGTTTAGCTTTATTCATAATTGCCCAAACTATAAATAACCCAAACAGCATTCAAACAAACATACAAACTGGTACATTCATACAATGGAATAAATACTATTTGAGAAGAAAAAGAAATGAACTAATAACATATGCAACAGTATAGGTGAGTCTCAAATACATTATACTAAATGAAAGAAAACAGGCTCAAAAAACTATTTATATTGTATGATTCCATGTATATGATTTTCTGGAAAAGGCAAAACTAAAGGAACAGAAATGAGATCAGTGGTTGCTGGAGTGGGAGTAGAGGGGAGGATTGAGTAGAGAGAGGCCTGAGGGAATTTGGGGGGTTATAAAACTGTGTCTTGATTATGGTAGTGATTACACAACTGGATGTGTTTGATAAAACTTAAAAAACTGTGTGCTAAAAAGGGTAAATTTTACCTAAATATTTTTTTAAAAGAAAATATGAATTTTTAACTCATTTAACTGATGAGTCTAGGAATAGGTTGACTTGAGTGCCAGCTCACAAATAATGCCAACAGAACTCGGTCTTGCACTTAAGTTCACTATTTTCTTCTCTGTTGCCTTCATTCATGAGCTGTTTCTCAGTATAGTGGCTCACGCACTTGCAGGCTTTTATCCTTAGAGTTTAGTAATCCCTGAGGAAGGAAAGTGCTTTGTTCCCTTTGAGTCTAGCACAAGTATTTGGCATGCTTGGCTCACATAACCATCCTTGAACCAGTTTTCTGGAAAGCAGGCTGCAGTGTGGTGACTGACTCTGCCTGGGTCATTTGTCTACCTCTGGAGGCCACAGGTAGTGGTCAGTCCTGTTTAACCATGTGTACTAGTCTGGGAACAGGTGGTTTCCCAAAGGAATGTTGAATATTATTATCAGAAGGGGCTGTATATACTGGGACAAGTGAAAACTTATGTGGCTGCCTAAAAACAAAGCAGTAGGAGACAAAGCGCTACTTTCTTTCTAAACCAAAGGTACTTTCCCTAACCACGTAACTGGAAATTCTGTCAGAGCTTCTTAAGGAGAGTTAGGCAGCCTCTCTTGAGATTATCCTCAATGACTAAATCCATTTTATGTCTATAAAGGTTTTATATAGTGAAGTTTATGTGGAATAATAAAGCATATTTGTATAATGTATACCTGCTTTACAGGTTATAATAAAGGATAACAGTCTTGTACTGACACCATCACACATCAAAGCCTACATGTTGATGACTCTTCAAGGATTAGAATATTTACATCAACATTGGATTCTACATAGGGTAAGGTTTTTAACCAAGTATGATTGCTTCTTTGTGATGTAGTCAAGTTTTATGTAACCAATTTACTATGTAAATGGACTGAGTAGGTAAATTGTTAGAGAGAGAGCTGGGCCATTTTATCCCACCTTCTTCCTCTGTGTGCTTCTTTCAGTTCCACCAGGTGGTATTGTGAGAACTCTAAATTACTATGTGAAATTTAGAAATGGAAGAGACGGGTCCTTCATTTTTTTTCATAGATTAATATCTAAGTTCCTGACCAAAATTATGTATTTTTTTCAAGGTTAGTTGCTGATAACTGACAAGAATATTAGAACCTAAATATTTTGGCTTTAAGTCCAGTGTTCCTTCTGCTACACTTTTGTAATGGGGGGCGGGAGGAGGGGGCAGTGAGTCTGGATTAAATTATACAATGCAAAAATGCCTTTGCAAAAGTATTTCTAGTAGCTCTAAGATTCTGTGAAGTAATGAAATAAAATTTCTGAAATGCCTGAATCATTGTTAGGAACATTCAGCTATTAGAACAAAGCTGGTAATTTAGATAGGTAGATGTTCTTAGACACCCTATTAGATAAATAGCTGAAAATATATATAATTTGTAGTTAGTATTTCTCAAACTTAAGCTTGGAATCCCTTTTAGGTTATTGCTAGTATCTTTTTAGCATTGATTTTGAAGACTGTGTTCCTCATTCATTCTAAATGTGTGATGCTTTATTTACTAAAGTTCATATATATTGTTTTAAGTTAGTGGCAGCAACTGTTTATTGAATTCTTACTATGAACCAGTCCTTACACTAAGCTTTTTACAGGAAATATTAAATTTAATCTTCATAGGAACGCTGTGAAGTATGTAAATTGAAGTTCAGTGAAATTCAGTACCTTGACCAAAAATCTCACTAAGTAATATGACCAATCTTATTTCACTTTGATAGGATTTTACATCAATGAAAAAATACTGGTTGTTGTTTAAATTTGGGGTGTTAGTCTGTTTCTGCTAAGTTTAAAGTTAAGCCAACTAAATGTGTCATTATGATATTCTCTTCCACCTTGCTTACGTGTTTGTTTAAAACCTCCATAATGCAGGATCTAAAACCAAACAACTTGTTGCTAGATGAAAATGGAGTTCTGAAACTGGCAGATTTTGGCCTGGCCAAATCATTTGGGAGCCCCAATAGAGCTTACACACATCAGGTTGTAACCAGGTAAGAATTCCTTAAATAACTGATAGCTTATTGTGCAGGATATTAATCACAAATGAACCTCATTTGGCTATTTGGCTTCTCTGAAATTTTGGCAGAGTTCAAGGATTATTGTTCTTATTTTATTAAAAATACAGCCCTTTTTATATTTTACGTATCTTAACAATGAAAAAAATATACAGCCCTTCTTTCAGAGTTGAATTACCTCAGTTCTCAGATATTTACCTGGTAACTTTTGGGACTAGTTTATACTTCTTTTACAGTTTAGTTAGATAAGTTGGAACTTCGGTGGCTATTCTTTTACATAATTACCTCATTTGGGGGCTTGTGTTTATCTTATTGGCCAGTCCTGATTTTATATTTTATATCATTCAATGTGAATGAAGATTCTCTAAACAAAGCAGTGCGTTTATATTTGGATTTTTCACATTATTGTATTTTCTGTGTATACTTTTTATATATAAAAACTAAAAGTCATATTAAATAGGTAGAAATGGTAGATTCTATAGTTATTGTCAGGATGGGATTTGTTAGTTTCCCAGACTTTCCTAAGGATCTGAGAAGATCTCCAGATTCCCTCTATCCTTTTAAATTACTTTGTGACCTTCTTCCAAATAGATCTCATTGAGTGTCAGTCACCTGAGCCCTGAATTAGAAGTAAAGGATATAAGTAGTTGTTGATGTAATTTCTGGGAAGATTATAAGCCCATCATTCAGGAACTCTGGGAACTCAGGAAAATAGGGAGCTACATTCATGAGAATTGTCTACCAGTGGTTTTCATCTACCAATTTCTGGTGTTTTCTTTTCTTGTAAATAAAATACTTCTAATAGGTCAAATTAAAATGAGAACTGAGAATTAATAATTTAGATTAGTGATGTGGCCATCTTTTAACCTAGACAAAAGCAGATTTGCTGGAGTGGTGAGATGAAAGACTGACAGAAAAGAGTTTAAGAGGATGAGGGAAGAGGAAGTGGAGACAGTAAGAACAGACAACCAGAGAATGAGAAGGTAACTGTTAGGGGAAGTAGGGTGTTTCTTTTTGTTATTGTTTCTTTTTAGTTTTTTAGTTTATTCTGTAAGGCTAGAGAAATAATGATATGGTTGTCTTTTGATGGTGAAAAGTTCAGTAAGAGACAAAAAGTTGATGTAGGAGAAAGGAGAGAATTGCAGGAGCAATATCCTTGAAAATCGGCGAGAGAGCATGGTATTGAGCGCCCAAGTTGAGGGACTGGCTTTAAAAACAGTCAAGGATGGTTCATATGTAGTCACAGATGGGAAGGCAGATTGTGTGAGTACAAATGACTATAGGTGAGTCTGTAGAAATTTTCTTTTCAGGACTCGCATTTTTCAGTGAAGTAGAAATTAAGGTCATCAGCTGAGAGGAAGGACAATATTGAGGCTTTCAGGAGAAAGATGATGTTAATCATCTGTAAGAGTGGAAGAGTGAATGGACCAATGGTGTATGTAGTTTCCGGGCAGCAATGTGGAACTACTTGGTTTTATAGTCAGTTTTTCTTAAGTTGATACATCCATAAAAGTGAATATCATTAGTAGATGACGTTTCACTGAAGAGTGTTCTCTAAGAAACTTTATTCTAAAATGACTATTTCTTTTTGTTCTTCAGGTGGTATCGGGCCCCTGAGCTGCTGTTTGGAGCTAGAATGTATGGTGTAGGTGTGGACATGTGGGCTGTTGGCTGTATATTAGCAGAGTTGCTTCTAAGGGTAAGTACACACTTCAGTATTGTTATAGGTATTTGTTCTTATAATTTGTGTAAGAATTATCTTCCCAGAGATAGTTCCCAGAGAGGAGCACCATCCTCAAAACAAAAGCCAACAAACAGACCATTTTAAAAAAAAACCCTTCCTAAGTGCAACCTTTTTATTAATGCTAATGTGAGATGAGAAGACCTCCCATTTAGGATAGTGAAGTTTTTATTATAGATCATTTCTGTGTTCTGAAGTATACTTATAATAAAACCCTCATTGGATTGTAATACGGTATTATTTCTACAGTAACTGAATGTGTTAGGATAAACTTCTGTACTCTGGGGACTTTTTTGTTTAGGCTGTTTAAATGTACACTTTTAGAGCTATGTAATACCAACCACTGCAGCTACAGCTCTGCATAATGGGAGAGAAGTATTTTAGTTCTGTTCAGGCAGAGCAGACATAATGATCCTATAGCATTTCCTTGATTGAGACCATTTTACAATGGAACCACCTCTCCCTTTCCTCATTGGAGAGAAAAATACCAAAATGGAAAGTTTTCTCAAGCTATAGTTTAGTTCAGTCCTTCTCAATGATGAAAGTAAAAGAATATTGGGGAATCCTACTGAAGCTGAGTTTTCTCTCCCTATATGCTGGATTTGAGCCCGAACTCTCCCTTTCCTTAAGCCCTGTGTATTTAAAGAAATGTGAACCCAAAACAAAAATACAGCTGTTTAATTTCCTTAAGCATAGAAAATAGCTTCTGTACACTAGGGAGAAAAGTTACCTTCTTAAATGTCTTTTATATTTTAGTTCATTGTGAGTTTATACATCATTTTGAGAAGCTCACCCCTGTGGATGCTTGTGGAAGAAACCCTTGCATTTAAATTTGAAGATGATATAGGTGATCCCTTGCTAGTAATGGGTCCTCTGAATCACCTGACATGACAGCTCTGCTACTCGCAAGAACATAGAGTTTACTAGAAGTTTACATTTGAGAATCAAAAGCACATTTCATTCATGACCAAGACAGAAACAGAATTCTGTAGCCCATAATGTTATGACTGATCATTTCATTTAGAAAGTAAGTGGAGAGACTCAGACATAGAAAGCAAACTTATGGTTACCAAAGAGGAAAGAGGTGGGGAGGGATAAATCAGGAGTTTGGGATTGGCCGATATAAACTATTATGTATAAAATAGATGAACAACAAGGTCCCCACTGTATAGCGCAGGGAACTATGTTCAGTTTCTTGTCATACCTGTAATGAAAAAGAATATATGTGTAACTGAATCACTGTGCTCGACACCAGAAGCCAACACAACATTGTAAATCAACTATACTTCAATTTAAAAAAAAACTAAGTGGAGAGGGACAGCAGTTGAGAATAGATGGATTAGAAATTGTGGACCTAATTGAAACCATAGTTGGAGTCTTTATTAACTGTTGACATTGTTGGCATCATTAAGGTTGTGAAGAAAATGACAGGCAGCCCTAATTGGTGAAGAATTGTACTATTTTGCCATATATTTGTCCTGTACAATTGAAGAAAAATATTTCCTGTTTTAAAATGTCCCTTCACTGATTTGAAAATATAATCCATGGAAATGCTGTCCACATAGTTCTGAATCTGTGGTGAGATCCTACAGCCCAAATGGATAATAATTGAAAGCAGGGTAATTGAAAAGATTTGCTAATAAGCATACAGTCTTTTTAAAGTATTATTTTTCTTTTAGATAAATTTTATTAAAGGTTTAATAACTACTTAAGGTAGAAAACAGGAGTAACAGTAAATAAGCCTGTATCCAACCAAAGCAGTCAGTATAGCATAAATCATTTTAGAAGCAAATTGATCTGCATTCTGAGTATCTTCTATATTGTTAAATGAAAAGGAATTAAGAAATATTTATACTAGTGGAGTACTTAAGTCCAGTACTGTGTTATGTAACACGAATGTACTTTTTAAATTTGTGATCTGTTTATGTTCTTCTTTTTTAAATCATGATTTGAGACAGGTAGTGATTAATAGAAAATCTAACCTTGGATATTACCTACTGAGCAAATGCCATTATCTGGTCTAGATAGTTTTAAAGATAACCATTTTTGTTCATAAATAAAAAGTCTATAGTTTGAAGGAGATGTTTTATGCTTTATAATAAGGTCACTGGGCATCCTGTAGGCCTGCATTACAGCATTCCCTGGAGATGATGTGTGGTACAAAGGTTTGCTCAGCCAGCAGCTGCCTGCCCTACTCTAACTTCATCCACATGGTGAGGATCTAGAGCTAATGGCTTGGCCTGCGCTTGATCTTCAGCCTTCTGACAGACCAGTGCTTCAGTTTAGCTGTATCAGCTCAGAACAGAGCTTCGATCAGTTTTTGCATAGGCTTTACAGGGGCACTAGAGACTGAAGCATTTCAGTTATTCAAGAACTTGGTCATGCCTGTTACATAAATATTTGCCAATTTTGTACTATTTGATTTGTGATCCCTGCCTCCCTGTAAAGACATGAGAAGGGAAAAATAAATTTCTACAATGTTAGTTTTCTTAAAAAGATGAATCTCAACACAGTTTTAAAAGAGAATTCATGAGTGGAGTCATATTGAAAAGAACCAGAGAGGTTTCTCTTGGGTTCATTTTTCTTAGTACTGTTGAACCCAGAACCTCTCTTCCTTTTAGGATTAATTGGATTCTTTTCCTCAGAACTAGAAAGTTTTCATTCACAGGCTTAGTCACAATTATATATTGGTAAAATTCTGATACCTTTTAAGAAGTTGTTATAGAACAGGAAAAAGAGAACAATAAAAACCACAGGCTGTTCCTCTGGTTAAGCTTTGTGTTTGCAACAATATTTGAATGTTATTTGAATATTGCGCAGTTATATTAAGTATGGATGGCCCACTCGCCTATATTCAGAAAAAATGAAAATCAGTGAAACTATTAGCTGTTAAGAATGAGGTTGTAGAAGAGCTACCATATGAGCTTATTTTTCATCCCTGGAGATGGGGGAACACTATCTTGGGTTGCCTACTGGACCCAGTACCTACTCATGACAGTGGATTTTTTTAGTCAATATTGCATTGTTACTTAATACAATGAAGACATTTTGAAGTAAGGTGATAATTATATCTTAAGGATTTTTTTTTTTGCCTGGGGAAGGTAATCAGGTTAGGATTTTTTTAAGATCACAGGGCAAAAATCTGCCCTCCTGGAAAATAATCTCTAAAAAGAAACAAACATCATTTTGAAACCAGGAGGGGCCTATAACACTATGCCAGAAGATAGGAAGAAATGAAGAAGACCGAAAGTCTTCAGAAAAGGATGCCAACTAGAGGCACATTTGGTTTGGCACTCAGAATCCTCAAGTTGCTTAGTAATGAGAGGCACCAGTGATCATTGATGGCAATAAGGAGGTGCAGGACTAAAAACAGAAGGGTTGGTTGAAAAACCTGTATATGGAGCAGTTAATACCAAGGTCTACAACATAGCCAGATTACTTCCCTTCCCTCAGCTATACTTCCCCCTCACCTTGTTCCTCCATCTGAGAAGGGTTTATTCTCCAAGGAAACTGAATTAGGAATCTCTAGACATAGCCATCCTTAGACACAGTGGAGGTTTGGGGTGAGATGCTGAAATGAAAACATGCACACTAAACAGTGAAACCTCCAGCTTATTCCCTGCTCAGCTCCTAGAACCCTGGCAGCCAGTGTAATAACTCCTTTTAACCCAGGTAAAAGATAAAAGGATCCTTCACTGGAAAACTGAATGGTCCCAGAAAACAGACCCACAGGTAACTGGTATTAATCTCCCTGTCTAATCTTTCTGGAGTAAAGCCCATTAGTTAACAAGATTTCCTCAGAGATGTAATGCTTCTAATCAGCTTCTTAAGTACCTTAGCCTTAAATATGAATGGTTAGCCAGTGATCACCAGATAGTTATCAAAGATTTTCAGACATTCAGTGAATGCTTCCAACCCATAAGGATCACCAGATAATTGGTAAGGATCATCAGATATTTGATGAAAGCATCAAACATGAAAGATGGACTGAAACAAACCAGAAAAGGAACTTAGAAAAAATAGAAACTATCAGGTAGCAGTAGAAAATTCATTCCCCTCTACCCCCGTCACATTTTCAGAGAACTGAGTGAATATACTGCATATGTAAAACAAGAACATGATGCTCTTTTACTAAAGGAACGATCAAAGAATAAAGGATACTTGAAATTTTTCAAATAGGAAAGCTAAAAGCAAACAAAAAACAGTGGAAAAGTAAGCTAAAGAACTCTTTCATTAACTAGAACCAAAAGGTAAAAGAGATGGACTGTATGTAATAGAGAAAAGATAAAAAAATTTAGCAGATTGATCCAGGAGTGATCTTAGAATATATTGCAAAGGAGAACAAAGAACATGGAGGATAGGAAATTCATAAAAACATAGTCCAGCATTGATGGATGTGAATAGATTGAAAATACGATGAGATTTTACATAGTAAAGACCCCTGCCCAGGCACCTTGTGAAATTTCACAGGACCAGGAGATTCTTAAGAAAAAGCTTTTATTTCCACAGAGAGGAAGAATATGAAAAGCTCACACAGAAATCAAAAGGATTAGGGAAAAGATGGCACCGGACTTCTCAGCAGCAACATTGGAACCTGGAAGACAGCAGAACACATTGTGAAGGAAAATTATTTTCAACCTAGAATTCTGTGCACATTCATATTTTTAGATAGCTATGAGAATAAATAGAATTTATTACACTAAAAATTTGACATCCACTTCCTTTCTTAGGAAGTTATTGGAAGATGTGCTCTACTATAACATGAGACTAAATCAAGAGAAAGACATGGGATCAAGGGAACATGAGATTCAACACAGGAAGGAGCTGAATAGAATTCCCCATTTGGTAGTACAGGAAAGTTCTGAGAAAAACAGGTATGCATCAGGCCTAGAGAACAACTAGTCCAGATTATAGCAGGTGGGATGAGGGCTTCAACAGGGGAGGTCTCCAGGAAAAAAATGGAGCTGATGGATTTTGATACGTTTGATCATTTAGAATATGATACTGAATACGTGAAATCTTAGGTACAAACTAAATTGCCAAAGGGGGGTGATGGGAGGAGTTGAGGAAGAAGAGCTAGAAAGTCATTATGTTAAGAAAAACCAAATTATTGTATGAGAAAGGAAACTTGATATTAGATCTTCAGTGAACAAAAGTTACATAGTTACAAATGGAGAGGTGTGATGGGCCAAAGGACCAATTTTATGCATGAGTCTATTCATTGTTTGAACACAAAGCATGTATTAATTTAATACAAATAAAACTTTTTTTAAAAAAAGTTCCATTTCCAAAGCAGCTCTTTTAGGGAAAAAAAAAATCTTTTTTTGAGTATTTAGTATTTTCAAACATGCAAAAGCACAGAGAGTAGTTAAATGAACCTCTGTGTAGCCACCAACCACTTTCAACAGTTTTTAACACATGGCCAGTTTTATCAGTATTCTCCCACACCACATTTTTTTTTTTTGGCCACAAACCCCAGACATTCATATAATTTTGTTCATATATTGCTGTTTCTCTAAAAGATAAGGATTTTTAAATCATAATCACAATACCATTATCATCTGATAGAAATGAATAAATCCTTGAATAAATGTTGAGTACCCAGTCTGTTCAGATTTCCCCAATTTTTCTCATAAATGTCTTTTATAATTGATTTATTCAAATTGGAATCCAAAGTCTACACATTAGGCAGCTCATTTGAATTTACATTTCTTACATCCGACAAAAAGACCCATTCTTAAAATCTGCTTCAATTGCAAGCTTGCCCACAAAACAAAGGTTATGATGATGACTGTCCCTTTCTTCATAACTGATAATCAGTTTACACTGGTGGTCTGCAAAGTGGAAGATAATCCTTTGAGGTATAAGACGAAAATGTGTCTAAAATTATTTATGAACTGTTATTTAATATTCCTTGTAGTTTCAATTTTTGTGCACATTTAATATACATAATAGCATACCATTATAAATATATAATTTAAATAGGGTTTGTATTAAGTCTGGGTCCAATCAGAATATAGAAACCATACATTAATTTGAGGAGGGAAATTTAATATAAAGAATTATTAACTGTAACAATAGGTTGAAATAATGAGGGATTGGCTAATAAAAGTAAAGAGAACTCTGAAGAATATAGGAATAGCAGATATAAGGAGCCACCACCCTTATACCTGGGGTGACCCTAGGACTGAAGACAGAGCACCTAAGGAAGAGGACCCCCGGGGCTGACATCTAGACCTCTTGAAGAGGGCACAGTGTGGCTCCCTGGATGACAGAGAAGCTGCTGTAGAGCTATGGTAGCAGAACTTGCTGGCAATCTGCTCTCTAGAACATGTTGGAGATCCGTCCTCTAGGATGCTGAGGAAGGCTGTTCAGGGCATTTCAGGTGCTGAGGAAAGCATTTCTCTGGTGACACTCTGCTACAGGACGCTTCTACAGGGGATTCTAGAGGGAACAATTTTGCTTCCTGTTTGCAGTTTGCTTGACTGGCAGACTCCTGCAGCCCTCTCAGTTTCTAGAACCAGTACCAGGTTCCTACAGTGTGGTCAGTTCCTCCAGGGCCCAGCTCCAACAGTGCACAGAGGCCAGCAGCTTCCCTCTAGAATAAATGGGCAGTGTGGTACTCTACTTGGTTATCAGTGGCAGGATCTAATGCCACATCCAGTATACCTCAGACTACATTTTAATTTTTGTTTCAGTTTACTTCTTCTTATTAAATTTATAATATTTGTATAACAGCCATCACAAACCATGTTGAAGTATTTGCCTCTCACTTTTTCAGGTTCCTTTTTTGCCAGGAGATTCAGACCTTGACCAGCTAACAAGAATATTTGAAACTTTGGGCACACCAACTGAAGAACAGTGGCCTGTAAGCCTTCACACGTTTTCTTTGAAATTTAGTTAGAATTCTTTATAGTGCTGTCATGTGAATATTACTTAAAGAAATGTACTAATTGTCTTTTTTTTTAGCAATGTACTAATTGTCTTAATTTACTAGTAATATATATCCAATGGGCAAATTTTTAAAAGTAAAGAGTTAAAATTGTAATATACCATCTAGCCTCCTGTATACATGTAGCTCTTCCCAATCCTAGTAATTCCTAGGGTTAATCAGTATTACTTTGCTATAAAGCTTTGCTATAAGGATACACACACAAACACATAATTACATGTAGACTTGTGATTTCTTTTGTTCTTTAACAAAAATGGGACCAACATATAATTTTTTTTTTTGCAACCACTTGCTCTTTTTTTACTTAATATTTATTATTGACCTTTTCCTTTTTAAGCTGTATAATACTTCATTTTATGAATGTTTCATGTTTATTAATATCTTGATGTATTTGGGTACATTTATTGAATTTTCATTAACACAGTATTTTTTAATATGATATATTTTTAACCCATTACATTGTCTACAAAAAAGAAATACTAAGTCTGTGATAAACTTTACAACAATTTAAGTTGCAGAATTTTATATTATTCGAGTTCAGTAAAATTCTTACTCATTCTAAAAATTGTAGACCTTTTGGTTTTCCTTCCTATTATAGCTTCATCTCCTGGGGAAAAAAATGAATACTAGAAAATAATGGAAAAGAGAAATTTTAAGTATACTTAGTGTGTGCCATTAATGGTAGGATTTTCATAGATTATATTTAATTCTCCCAGCAATCCTATTAAAGTAGATACTGTTATTCCCATTTACAGATGAGACAACTGAGGTTTAGTGAGGTTAAGTAACACCCGTAGCCACTCAGTGTCAGAGTTAGGACTGCAGTCTGGGTCTGTCTGATTCCAGAGCCATGTTCATAATATTTATTCTTTACTTTTCTCTTTGTTATGATTTTCTAAATAGTAATTGCTTATTGATGTTTTCCTTGGATTTTTAAAAATTCTTATTTTGATTTACATGCAGAAAGGAATAATACAGATATATATCCCTTGTACCCTTTACCCAGCTTCCCACAGTGGTAACATCTTGCAAAATTAGTGTAAATCACAACCAGCATGCAACATTGATTCAGTTAATATACAGGACATCACCACAAAGAGCCCTCATGTTGCCCTTTTTCAGTCACGCCCACTTTCCTTCCACTCCCACCCCTTCTTTAATCCCTGGCTGTCACTAATATGTTCTCCATTTCTATAACTTCGTCATATCAAGAATGTTATAAATGGAGTCACATAATATGTAAGCGTTTGGGATTGACTTTTTTTCACATTCAGCATAATTCTCCAGAGATTGATTCAGGTTGTGTGTATGAATGATTAGTTCCTTTTTATTGCTGAGTGATATGAATGTGCCAGTTTGTCTAACTATTCACTCATTGAAGGATATATGCATTGTTTCTAGTTTGGGGCTATTAGAAATAAAAATACTTTAAGCATTCACGTGCAGGTTTTTGTATAAGTGTAAGTCTTTATTTCTCTGGGATAAATGCCCAGGAGTACAGTTGCTGACTCACATGATAGTTGCATATTTAGCTTAAGAAACTGCCGAACTGCTTTCCAGAGGAGCTGTACCATTTTATATTCTCACCAGCAATACGTGAGTAATCTACTTTCTCTGCATCCTCTCCAGCATTTGGTGGTGTCACTTTTTTAAGCATTCTGAGGGGTGCATAGTGATAACTCATTGTGACTTCAATTTTCAATTTCGTAATGACTAATGGTGTTGAATATCTTTTCTTGTGCTTATTTGTCATCTGTATAGCTTTAATGAAATGTCTCTTCATGTCTTTTCCTCACTTTTTAATTAGATTGTGCTTTGGCTGACTATTGAGCACTTTATAATACTCTAGATACTCGTCCTTTGATTTTGTATGTGGTTTGCAAATATTTTCTCTTACACTGTAAGTTGTCTTTTCATCTCACAGAGTCTTCCCAGTTTACTCTGGGAAGTTTTTTAATTTTGGTTAAGTCTGTTTCATCAGTTTTTCTTCTTATGAATAATGCTTTTGACGTAAAGTCAAAAAACTCTGCTTAAAACAAAGAGTTTCTAATAGTTTCATAGTTCTACATTTAACATTTAAGTTTGATTCGTTTTCAGTTAATTTTCATATGAGGTATGAAAATTAAGGGTCTTTTTTTTGGTCTGTTTATAATACCAATCCCTCTGTCAATACCATAGTCTTAAAGTAGCCATATGTTAAGTCTTGAAATCAGGTAGAGTGATTCCTCCCGCTTTTGTTCTTATTCAAAGTTATTTTAGCTATTTTAGTTCCCTTGCCAGAATTTTGGTAAGAATTGCGTTAAACCTGTCTAACAATTTGAGGAGAATAGACATCCTTATAACATTTAATCTTCCAATCCATGAACATGATCGGTCTCATTTATTTAGAGCTTTGATTTATTTCATCAAAGTTTTCAGTATATAGTTTTCAGTATATGAGTCTTAACACGTTTTGTTAGATTTTCACCAGAGTATTTCATTGTACTTTTTGAGTGATTCCAGATAGCATTGTTTTTAATTTCAGTGTCCACATGTTCATTGCTAGTGTGTAGAACTACAGTTGATTTTGTATGTTTATCTTCCTGTAACCTTTCCTGCTCACTAGTTCTAGAGTTTATAAATAGATTTCCTGGGATTTTCTACATAGATCATCATATCATCCATATGACAGTTTTATTTCTTCATTTGAGATCTGTATGCCTTTCAATCCTTTACTTAAGTTTGAATTATAAAAATATTTTTACAGGATATGTGCAGTCTTCCAGATTTCGTGACATTTAAGAGTTTCCCTGGAATCCCGTTACAACATATCTTCATTGCAGCTGGAGATGACTTGCTAGATCTCATACAAGGCTTATTCTTATTTAATCCGTGCACTCGAATTACAGCCACACAGGTATTTTAGCATATCTTTCGAATTTCTTAAGATTTTATAATATTCTTTAAATACTGAAAAGATGTGTTTCTGTTTTGTTTTAAGGAATAACAAATTTTATCTTTTCACTAAGCTGCAAGCACTGTTCAGACTGGTATTAAATTATATGATCCACACACAAGTGCAGGAGAGTTTACGCTTGCTTAGAAGAATATAGATTTCTGTTTCATAATTAATTTGCTTTCAAGTAGTTCACCTAGAGAGGAAAAAATAACAAGGTTTTTGTATTTGTTAAGACAGTGGTATATTTCAATTAAACTCTTATGTATTCACTTAAATCTTGTGCCAAAACTAGTGCCAAAATTGTTTTGTTTTGTTTTTTTCTCCATAAAATACAGTTCAGATAGGCATGCTGGTCATTGTCACAGTTAGAAAGTGATTAATGGGGAGGAAATGGTATAGTCTCATACAACTGTATGCTTACAAGAGATTGAAAGATATTCTAAACAGAAAACTGAAACTGATAGTTATTAAGGGAAATAAGAATCAAACTCAAGAAAAATGTGGAGGACCAAGAATATCTGCTCTTTTGAAAGAAGAGAGAAATGTTATCCAAGCAAAAATATAAGACCTACAGGTTTGAAAAAAAATTTTTTTCTTTGTTTTAAAATCAAGCACACAAAAATGGGTCGAGTCACAGATGTTTAAAATTGGGGCAGGGAAATACAATGCAAAAATACAACACAGCACAGTTGATTTGGCTTCATAAAGGGAGAGGCTGATTGAAATGTTACAGATCTTCAAATCTGACAAAACATGTTAGTGCACAACATGTTAGGGACACAAAGTGGATTTTTTTTCACTTAAGGTTATTACAGACTACCAAATCATTGTTTAATGCATTTACCTTCTATAAGCCCTATCTTCTTAGCTACATTAACACATATGTACTACATATTTTACCATTGGAATTAGTCTTCCAATTTCAAACAAGTAACTCATTTTTACCTTTTTACCCATGCATATATGCATAGTCTCCATCATAAGAAACTTGAGAGCAGGTCACATTGGAAAGATGTTGTCATTAATAGTGTAAAACTCAAAATTACAGTTGGAATGAGATACTCTTCCTTTCTTAGATCTCTGTGTAGCTCAAAGTTTGCTCAGTTTACTTATGTAACTGCTATGATTTGGAAGTAATACTTTATAAATGCAATTCCTGAAGTAATAAATCTCTAAATTATTACTGCAAATAATATTATGTTGGAGAGTTGGGGGAGGTATGCTCAAAAAGTTTATATGACTTCTTGGATAAGAGAATTATCCAAGAGGAAATATCTTAAATTATTGTGGCTCTTGAACAGTACTATAGATACAAATAAAGCATGAACTTGACAGCTTTCATTCAGAAGAAAACTGCTGATTGGAATTTGGGACCTAAGTTTTGAACTATAGAGCCTATCTTGTATAGAGAGCTGAATTATACAATACCTTACTAAGGATATTTCATATTTAATATAGGCTGTTGTGGAAAAATTTGAAGGTAGTGTCTTTTTCTTATAGTAATGGAATATTCAATCTTAGGCTGCTAGATGTTTATTTGTAATAATTTGCATGTCCAAATACTCAATTTATTTGGGGAGGGGGTGTTCACATAGTGTTTTTAATGTTCCTGACAATTTTGGAAGCTAGATTTTCTTGAACACAGTTCAGATATTCACTTAAAACCTTACTTTCTTTGGTGTATTTTCTTTTGCAAGGCATTGAAAACCAAGTATTTCAGTAATCGGCCAGGGCCAACCCCTGGATGTCAGCTGCCAAGACCAAACTGTCCAGTGGATGCTTTAAAGGAACAGTCTAATCCAGCCATGGCAACAAAACGGAAGAGAACAGAGGCTTTGGAACAAGGTAAAACTCTCATTTTCATAAGAAATTAAACAAACTCAGAAAACTCCACAGAGCTAATATATAGCTAGTAACTGAAGGGCAGCTAAGAAATATAGACTGTGAGCTGTTTACTTGTTTGAAATTTAAATTGTATAAAGTGGAATGTGATATTTTAGCTATATGTGCTTCCATTAAGAATATTTTACATCATGCCTTTTAAAAGGACATGGGCACTTTTGCGTATACCTCAGAGTTACAAGAACTATTCATATGTACCCTGTTCTTTTCATAATTCCTACTGGTACACTGTATGCTTAAGGTTTAACAGGTACTATTGGAAAATCAAAGCAAGTAAAAATAAATGTAGTTGGAATGCAGTTACTGGTTAAAATTGCTATAAGATTACATGTAAACAACCTCATTTTTCCCCCCCCAGGAGGATTACCCAAGAAGCTAATTTTTTAGTTACAGAGAACACTGGACAATATTCTACTACTGAAGGAAATAGTGAAATTTCAGGCAAATTAGTGGAAAATAGTAAACATTAAGTAAATGGTTTAAAAGAAACTTGTAAATATTCTACACATGTAAAATATGTAAAACTGGGTTATTTTTATTAAATGAATTTTAAAACAAACTTAATTCTGATTTTTCTGATTAGAGTGCAGTAGTAAGAAGAGTTCAATTCTCTGAAATGTAGAATTTTTAATGAAAATAATTATCAGTTATTTTAATAATCTAACTCATATAGCATTAGAAATTTGTAGTAAAAAGGGTAGTATGTAAAAATAGAAAAATAGTAGTAATACAGCAAATATCTACTACCCTGACTTAACAAATGTTCATGTACTAAATAGGAAAAAAAGAAAAAATAACATTACAGATAAAATTGAGGTCTCCTTAATATGTCATTCCATTTTGTTTTTCTTTTCATCCTCCCCAAAGGAGAATGACTCTCAGGAAATGCGTGTGTTCTTCCATGATATTATACTGCTATTTTATAAGAACGCATGTAGCAATATACAGCACTGTTTTGTGTCTCAAAATCTTGAGTGTAGACTGTACATCTCATACTGCGTTTTTTTTATTCAAAACTTTAAAATTTCTTCTATGTTAATATATATATCTAGTTTTTGTTTTAACTGCCATATAATATATAATAATGCATAATATCTTACGTATACAACACTACTTACACATGCTCCATTTACAGACTGAGTTATTTTTCTTTTGCTGCATAAAAATTATCATAGATGTAGCAGCTTAAAGTAATACAAATTGATTAGCTCCCAGTCCTGTAGGTCAGATACATGTCAGAGCTCAACTATATTTTTTTTTGCATGGGCCAGTATTGAGGTGTCATTTGGACTCTGAGCACCTCTCTGAGGCTCTAGGAAAGAATCTGCTTCCAAGATCATACAGTTCATGCCATTTTAATGCACATGCATCCTGTCCTGGCTAGTTGTCAGCCAGGGGCCTCTCTCAGCTTCTTAAGGCAGTCCACTTGCCTTGTTGCATGGCACTCTCCATCTGTCAGCCAGCAAGTGTCAAATCTGTCTGGATTCCTCATCTGCTACCAAGAGAGAAAATTCTGCTTCATCTTTTTTCTTTTTTTAACAAACTCACCAGATATACTGTCAGCTCACTCAGGGCTTAATTATACATCTCAAAAATCCCTTCATAGAAGTTCCTAGGTTAGTGCTTGGAATAATCAGGACAGAAATCTTGAGAGGGCCATCTTTAGAATTCAGCCACATGGACATTTAGGTTATTTAACATTTTTCACAGTTATTAAAAAAACGGAATGTTAATACGCACATGCAAGAGTTTCTCTAATGTACATAATTAGAATTGTAATTGTGAGGTCATAAAGTATATATTTCCAGTTAGTGCCGATAGTCTATTTCAAGTAGTTGTATCAATTTACACTCCCAGTAGCTGTTCCATAGTTCTTAAAAATAAAGAAGCCTCTTACCTTACACCATATGCAAAAATTAATTCAAAATGGATCAAAGACCTAAACATAAGACGTAAAACTATAAAAATCCTTAGAGAATAACATAGGGGGAAAGCTTCATGACATCTGATTTGGCAAGGACTTCCTGGATATGACCCCAAAAGCACAGGCAACAAAAGTGAAAAATAGTTGGGACTATATCAAAATCAAAAGCTTGTATGCATCAAAAGAACATAATCAACAGAGTGAAAATGCAACCTATTGAATGAGAGAAAATATTTTCAAATCATATATCGGATAAGGGGTTAATATCCAGAATATGTAAAGAATATATATTGTTACAGCTCAGCAATTTTAAAAATCCAATTAAAAAAATGGGAAAAATACTTGAATAGACATGTCACCAAAGATAATATAGAAATGGCCAAAAATCACATGAAAAGATGCCCAGCATCACTGATCATTAGGGAAATGCAAATCAAAACCACAATGAAATAATACTTCATACTTACTAGGATGGCTGCCATCAAAAAAAAAAAAAAAAAAAACCCAGAAAAATAAGTCTTAATGAGCATGTGGAGAAATTGGGACCCTTGGTGGGAATGTCAAACAGTGCAGCAGCAGTGGGAAACTGTGGTGTTTCCTCAAAAAATGTAAAATGGAATTACCATATGATTCAGCAGTTTCACTTATGAGTAAATTCCCCCAAAAATTCAATTCAGGATCTCAAATCTATACATTCATTAACCTGTCAGAATTCATTTCACTTCGTCATCTCTAGCAGTCACATAATCTCTGGGGGGTCTTTGTAAATTTGGTATCTCATTCTAACTTACTTTCATGTCTCATGTGGTTTCTTCATGTTTGCTAATCATGCATAATCCTTCCTTTGTGAAGTGTTAATTCAGTTTTTTTAATTAAAAAAATGTTTAATACAATTTTTTTTCTGATTGGAGGTACTGTGGATTGAACGCAGGACCTCGTGCATGCTAAACATGCCCTCTACAACTGAGCTATACTTGCACCCCAAACCCTAAATTTTTTATACAATTTTTAAAGGTTACTTTCCATTTACAGTTATTACAAAATATTGGCTATCTAAAAATCTTTCTTCATTGGTGATTAACATTGTTAAAATTGAGATAAAGGTAATTAATGTCAAAGCTTCAGGACCTGAGCTGCTCTGGTGAGGCCATGGACTCATGATGAGGATATCTGGATCTCATCTAGTTCATTTCTCTCTATGGACCCCTCTGGACTGTTTCTTTAAAAGTTTGCTCAGGGTGGTTTGGTTGCCTTCATATTTTGAGTTGAAAGGTGGGACTAAGGAAGTAGACCAGAGTTAAATTGTTAAAAGATACTTTTATTCCTGGAAGAGCAGCAGGTGACAATAGTGAAGTCAGCCTGCATCTCTCAATGATGAGTCCTTCCTTTCTTTATTTTGTATTATTTACTTATGTGTAATTATTTTAATTTTTATACAGTTTTTAAAGATTATGCTCCATTTACAGTTACTACAAAATATTAGCTATATTCCCTGTGGTACAATACATTCTTATAGCCTGTCTTACTCCCAGTATTTTTACCTCTCACCTCCCAGCCTTTATATTGCTTCCTTCCCCATTCTCCCCAGTGGTAACCACTATTTTGTTCTCTAAGAGTTGGCTTCTTTTTTTTTTGTTATATTCACTATTTTGTTGTGTTTTTTAGATTCCATATATAAGTGATAATGTACACTGTTTTGTCTTTATCTGACTTATTTCACTTAGCATAATGCCCTCCAAGTCTACCTGTGTTGTTGCAGATGGCAACATTTCATTCTTTTTTATGGCTGAGTAGTATTCCATTGTATACACATACTGCATTTTCTTTATCCAGTCATCTGTTTTGTTTTTTTTTAACATTTTTTATTGATTCATAATCATTTTACAGTGTTGTGTCAAATTCCAGTGTTCAGCACAATTTTTCAGTCATTCATGGACATATACACACTCATTGTCCCATTTTTTTCTCTGTGATTTATCATAACATTTTGTGTATATTTCCCTGTCC